AACTCGATCGATACCTAAGATAGTATAAGTTTAAAAGATAAAATGAAAAGTTTATTAAACCATTGAACCAGATTAATTTGTAAGTACTCTGAGCTATATCACGTTAACATACCTCCTAACATTTGATAGGATCAAAGAGGGACACTTTACTTTTCGAGGTGTGATTGGTTGGGTGTCCAGGGATGGGGATGTTCTACGAAATTTTATATGACTTACTAAAAACAATTTGGGCAACTGAATGTAATTTAGAAGAGGAACAATGTATCTTACTTATACAAAGTGCTTTCTAAATACATTTATTGTAGTTTAAAGATATTACTGTGAATTATTGCTATGGAGCCCTGTTATACATTCAGGCACACCAAAATAATAGAAAAAATGCCTAAAAGACACGTCTTCATCTTGCTGCACCTCATTTAACAGTAGCAAAGAACAACTTTTCGCATGCAAATATCTACTGGCAGCACTGAACATATGATTGTGCCATATTTAAATTCTTTCCTTTCTAAACAAAATTAGGCAAGGAAAGTTGTACCATGATCACTTGCATTACCATTTCTAGCTCATATAAATACCATGGCATTTGGCTTAAGCAGTGTGTTTGCTAAAGAACAAAAAAAAAAAGAAAATTAGAAAAACGCATGCAGGTTTCACTTCTGGTTGTGTTAAAAAAATTTTTAATAAATGCTCTGTTTTCTTTCACGTTTACGTCAAAGATTAGTGAATCACATCAAAATCCAGTTGAGACAAGGCAAAGCTTGCACAAAGATTGCAAATTTCGAGGGAATTTAGAAAGATTGTTTAATTTCTCCTGTTCTCTATTTTAAGGGGCAGAGCTTAGAACACTGAGCTAAGATGAAGGTGTCCTATTGCAGAATAAAATATTGTGGATATCTGCATTTAACTTTAATTTTCACACCTCACATATACATAATATATTTACTATATTAGATACGTAAACTTAATATCTAAAATCCTGGGATGTAACAGTTCCCCTTTAAGTAAGGTAAATTATCTTTTTTTTCTTCTATAAAACAGAGCTCTGATATTTCAAGATACTTATCTTCAGAGATGAGTCTAATTTTATTCTTCAATCACTTTTGGAATACATTTAACATTGGCATATCATGTAATCCAATTCTGATCTTTAGATTTTTTTTGTCAACTGTCAGGTGAAAACATATGAAACTCATTAAGAGTAAAACACGATGGAATGTCACTTCAGCTTAATGAGAATATGAATGTCCTGTATTAATTGGCACGAATTAAAGGTTGTTTTTATGAATTAAAATATTTCTGGCTGGTAAATGTGTATTCCTATGAGATAAATATGTAACACATAGTTCTACTTTACCCCAAACACTACAGAGTGTCAACTCATTTTCATAGTTTAATGGATATCCATTGGTATATTTTCAAGTGCGAGTTCTAATTATCAAAATTCCTAACATTGTAAAACAGCATGGATGTCATTTAAAGTGCTTTCCAAAATCAACTTACATATGCTGCAAAATATGATTTATCAATTAATACTGCATAATATGATTTATCAAACAGAACGCCAATCATTATTTTGGGGTCATAGTACCGACAACTGAGTGAAATATATTTCGATTGTTTGGTTAAGATTATTTCCCCGATTTTTAAAAGTTGCAGACCATTATAAAATATTATTTTGAATCAATACCTTTGATCAGTTGAACATATATTACCCAAAATGAATTATTGCCAGTGGTGATTTCTTAAAGAATAATTGTTTTAGTTATGGCATTTTAGATCAAAAGTTTTTTGGTTTTTTTCTATAGATGAAAAAAACTGTATTTTACTACTAACTATAAATATTACGTTGAGATGCTGAAACCAGTGGTGATTACCTATTGGACCCAAAGAGTATAATCTCAGTACCTTAAAGTTATTAGTCTCTCTCTTTACTAAATCTATAGCAGATATGGGGAAAATATAAAATTACACAAATAACACAAAATTAATACATGACACCTTTAACCAGATATTCAGTAAGCCAGAAACTGTCAGGAGCTCATAAGATAATTGCAGATTTGATGCCAAAATGCCAATCTTTAGACCAGTTTAGCGGTCTGAAATGTATTATTCCCTGGAGAAATCCCAATAATTTATAATTATATAACAGATATCTAAATTTGACTGCTGCTTGCCAAAGTTGGCCAGTTTTGTAGCCATAATTTTGTTATGTGAATATTAACGTATCCTTCTTGTTTAACTTGCAGGTTACTCCAGTTATTAAGGAAAGGATGATGAAGAAAGGGAGTATGATGGTCGGTTACCAACCCCACCGTGATAAAGTTAACTTTTTCCGTCACATCATCATCAGTCCCCAAGTGAGCCGTGAAGACATGGACTTCGTACTAGATGAGATTGATCATCTTGGCAGAGACTTGTAGCTGTGGTATAGCAGCACTTTGTGCTGCTTGGACATGGTGTCCTATTAGGAGTTATTGATACATTTAACAATATTAAACTTCATGTTAACATAAATGAACAACAGCTACAGAATTTATACAGATTTTATACGTAGACAGAGTTTCTGGTTGGTCTTAAGCAAATGGCATCATATCGCATCTGCTTCTTTAATTAATTAAATCAAGCATGATCATTACCTTAACGCTGAATGATAGCTCCAATTAATTACTGGTACATTAAACAATAACTAAGTCCTGAATATAACCAATCAATATTGAAATGTCAATGCGTATCATTAGTAGCTTCCTAGAGCTTTCTAAAGGTGAATTTCAACTTAAATTAAAAATACAATGTGTTTTGCTTTAAATGTAAAAATAGGAACTGCTTCAATTTTTGAAGATTCTGATGATAAGCACAGCTAATCTTCAACTAATATAGTACCACTGTATGATATATTCTAAAGGGTTACAAGCAAGTTATTTGTTGCCCAGAAGAGGGCTTGAATTGAGCTTCCATAATAACTATATATCTAGAAGGATAAATTGATAATTCCTTAATAAATGGGTAAAGACTTACTATACAAGATCAAGATGATGTTGAAAAGTGTATATATAATATATCCACGTATGTATTTTAACAATAATATATATTCTTATATAATAAAAAAGCTAGATTATGTGTGTTGTATAGAGCAGTGGTTAGAGAACAAACATTTTCATTCACATATATTTTAGTCAGACAATCTTTCTTTACTACAACAATCTTTCTTAGTGCGCAGAAAAAACGATTAAGTTTTGACATTTTTCTTACAGATTAGATTCTGTAAGATGTTCTGTTCAAGATTTTTTTGTATTTATCGAATTTAAAAGTGAATCATTTTGCAACAATATCTTTAGAATTCACAGTAATGCGGGCCTTCTAAAGTAAGATGCCGCAGGTTTTGGATACACCTCGAGACCAAAAATTAGTTATTTATGCTCCTACTGATTGCTCCTCAGTATGAGCCCTGAAGTTTCAGTAGCCATGAAAATGTCTGATAATTTTACTGGTATCTATGGAATCAAACTCTTCAACTAGAAAAGACAGGATCATGAGCAGACAATAACGGTAGTCAGTACAGTGGCCAAATGTCTGTTGAGGCTGCAGGCAAAATAAGCTGTAATTGTACAGTTGGATGTATACAAACGGTAAGAACTATAAGCTTAGGATGGGTAAGGCAGCAGCAAGCACAGAGGTAGAACGCAAATCCAGACAATGCCGGAATGCGGTATAGCAAATCAAATGACAGCAGTAGGTGAGAAGTTTAGGAAACTCGTTTACTTGTAAACTAGCACCCAGATCACACAAGCAAAACATATATATGGAGGTGTGGCCTTATACAGGTCTCTGACAGCTGTGCCGATTAAAGAACGTGAATTAATGGAATAAAGTGAGCACTTCTGTTTAATATGTTATTTTTGGCCCAAAAAGGAGCATCAGTTTTGTGGTCATCTTGAGAAAGGATGTCAACCTAGTATGAAATATTATGTATATTTTACAGTGCACTAATACTAGCATTTTCCAGCCATCTGGTAAATTCTATATTTATATATTCTATATTTATTAAATATGTAAATAATATATTTAATAATATAACTATATAAATGTTTTTGTTTTTTTTACTGCTCCTTCTTTTTCCCCTCTATTACTCAATTCTCGATCTGTGAGTAGAATCATCATTTAGTGACTTTTCCCTAGTGATCACTCATCTATTTTATCATCTACCAGTCATCTCTTTTTTGGTTGACACCAGGGGCGGAATTCAGACTCAAAGCAAGTGTTCAGCTGCTCGTTTGGTCAGTGATTAGGCTACAAATAAGTTCGAGAATTTGACTGATGGCCTGATCATCCCATATTCCGACCAATTGCAGTTAAGACTAAAACACGTCTCCAAGTCTAGGTATAGCCAAATGTAAGCAGAATCAAAAATATGAAGTATTGCCTTGTACACACAGATGACCGGTATATAGATGATGTTATTATGTTTAGACATGCATAAAATTTAAATAATTTCACAACAAATTAAATTTCACTCTTTGTTAATTGTCATTACTTTAAAAGCAGAAACTATATAATAACCTAACCATATTTATTAATTGTAAATGATTTCTTGGATATTCTAAATTATTTCCTGAATAGTTAAACGTAAAGTTTGCGAGCCAGTTGTTAGTGAATTCTACATTTAATTGTGGCCTTTTCTGATCCTATTTTCACTATATTGTGTTTAAGTTTCTATCCTTGAACTTGCTGATGTAAAATGTTGAATTGGATCATTGTGCAAGGTTGTGTTACATCGAATTTTGAATCATTTTGCAACAATATAGTAGTAACAAACGGATACAGAGACCTATGCTCCTAATTGCTCCTCAGGATGAAGGTAATGGTCACTGGCTATGGAATCAAACTCTTCAACACAGGATCATGAGCAGACAATAACGGTAGTCAGTACGCCAAAAGGCTCCATTGTACAGTTGGATGTATACCGGTAAGAACTATAAGCTTAGGATGCACGGTATGCCGGAAGAAAATCAAATGACAGCAGTAGGTGAGAAGTTTAGGAAACTCGTTTACTTGTAAACTAGCACCCAGATCACACAAGCAAAACATATATATGGAGGTGTGGCCTTATACAGGTCTCTGACAGCTGTGCCGATTAAAGAACGTGAATTAATGGAATAAAGTGAGCACTTCTGTTTAATATGTTATTTTTGGCCCAAAAAGGAGCATCAGTTTTGTGGTCATCTTGAGAAAGGATGTCAACCTAGTATGAAATATTATGTATATTTTACAGTGCACTAATACTAGCATTTTCCAGCCATCTGGTAAATTCTATATTTATATATTCTATATTTATTAAATATGTAAATAATATATTTAATAATATAACTATATAAATGTTTTTGTTTTTTTTACTGCTCCTTCTTTTTCCCCTCTATTACTCAATTCTCGATCTGTGAGTAGAATCATCATTTAGTGACTTTTCCCTAGTGATCACTCATCTATTTTATCATCTACCAGTCATCTCTTTTTTGGTTGACACCAGGGGCGGAATTCAGACTCAAAGCAAGTGTTCAGCTGCTCGTTTGGTCAGTGATTAGGCTACAAATAAGTTCGAGAATTTGACTGATGGCCTGATCATCCCATATTCCGACCAATTGCAGTTAAGACTAAAACACGTCTCCAAGTCTAGGTATAGCCAAATGTAAGCAGAATCAAAAATATGAAGTATTGCCTTGTACACACAGATGACCGGTATATAGATGATGTTATTATGTTTAGACATGCATAAAATTTAAATAATTTCACAACAAATTAAATTTCACTCTTTGTTAATTGTCATTACTTTAAAAGCAGAAACTATATAATAACCTAACCATATTTATTAATTGTAAATGATTTCTTGGATATTCTAAATTATTTCCTGAATAGTTAAACGTAAAGTTTGCGAGCCAGTTGTTAGTGAATTCTACATTTAATTGTGGCCTTTTCTGATCCTATTTTCACTATATTGTGTTTAAGTTTCTATCCTTGAACTTGCTGATGTAAAATGTTGAATTGGATCATTGTGCAAGGTTGTGTTACAGTGCTTTAACAATTTTTGGGAAAAAGAAAATGCAGTAATCGTCTGCATTATAATTTTAAATACCAATTTGTGTCACTAATTTTGTGTTAAATATTTAATAGATTTCACTTATTTGGTATTAAACTTTGGTGCATTTACTAAAATGTTTACTAAAACAATGTTGCATTTTTAATAACACATTAAAATCAGCTTCTGCTAAACTATACCCAGGATCTTCAATACATTGAACTTTGAAGAATTCATTTGAAGATAACAATTGTTTGTTGCCAATTATTTGTTATATTATATTTGTATTTTTAATACGGTCAGTGTATGAAATATGGCAATCTAGTACAAATGTTTAGGCAGTATCTTTTACCGCATTGCATTAAATTTTTTTTTTTTTTAAATTATTTCTAAAAAGTTACAGAACATTTTAAAATATGCTGTTGCATTCTTTAAAATGATAACAGTAGTAAGATATGGTTCTCAATGAAGGAAGTCACCGCGCACTCTCGAGGTTATCATGCTTGTGGTGTTCCTTGAAATACCAAAATCCAAGCACCTTTTAACATGTAGGTGAAATTAATTATTTTCCTGGGTAGGTCGATTAACAATGCAAGAAAAATAAACTGTCATATATCTATATATATATCATTTTTTTCTTTTTTAGTTGTTAAATATACATGTGGGTTACCTTGGTTAAATACAATAGTTTTAGTTCTTAAAACAAGTGTGACATAAATGGGAATATGTAGGAGTGTGCACACTCAAATGTAGCAGAAAGAAAATCTAAAAAAAAAAAAAAAAGCATTTTACCTACACAGCATAAGTACATAGATTGCTATGGCTGGATTAACAAACATAATCAACAAAATAAAAAGTACAATGCACAGTTTAGGTAATCACCCACTGGTGAAACCTACATTTATGAGAAGAGCATGCCAAAATACAAAAGTAGTTGTTGAATGTACATGTAGGTTAATTTGGTTAAATACAATAGTTCTAGTTCTTAAAATTAGCCTCGTTTACATGTGTGGTGATAATTGTGAATATAATATGAAAAGAAAAAAAAATATTTTTTAATTACCAAACATATATAGCATTTTTACATTGTGTTGTAGATGACAGGACTTATCAAATAAAAGATAAAAAATAAATTTTAAGAAAGAACAGTTTTTTGTAAGAAAGGAAATCCCACTTCCTTGCCAACTCTTTTTATACAGAACACTCTTGCTGGCAATGTTGGCAGGTTTAATCCATTTACTTGGGACAGTATCATGTTTATACTAGCTGAAGAATAAACCTAAGTGGAGCTAACTGCATAGTGAAACAAAATAATTGGACCCCTAAAGAACTACGTTTTGTGTTAGTAAATATACACCTGTGCTTTTCTCCTTACTTCTATAGATCTATGTTAAAGGAACACACTGGACACAACACAATGTGCACTTGATTGGTTTTTGATGAGGGTCAGGGTATGGTCTCATATTCATGCTTATTTTCCTACCTGTTCAAACATCTAAGGTGCAATATTACAACATCCTCCGAGCCACGCTATATTTTTTCAAAAAATGTCTCCCTGATTGGAGGGTGAACAGCATCTTAACCAATGAGAGATTAATGTTAGTTGAACTGCTGACTTTGTCCCAATGTCGGTCACTGTCCTCTTATGGTCTGTAAAGTATTTTGAAGTCTTAGTAAAGAAATAGGGGTTAGATAAGAAGTGGAGTCATGTCAGCAGCTGAACTCTCAATGGCTGTGTACGTTCTTAGATAAGGACGTTGCTTTATAAGAAGAGAGAGTATAGCTAAGGGTGTGGGGTTACACTTCAGAATGTTGTAAATCTTTTATTTCATTGTTAGCAAAGCTAAAGAGATTGAATGTTACTCAAAACAAAGCTTGAATATGAGGCCAAAACTTGTCAAATGCACTTAAATTGTGTTGGAGTGTCTTTTTAGAGATCTTTTATTTGTGTTAACTTGCCACAATGACACCAAGGCACTGTCAAATATCAATATCAAGTGTTGTTAGCACAAGCCTATAATCCTTAAAGGTGTGAAGGACATTCTGTGATGAAAATGTTTCAGTTTCTTTTTTTATTCTTTATTTTATATAATTGATAGAATTTCTAGATTACCATTCTATGCCACATATGACTGTAATAATTGTTATTGTGTGTTAAATTTGATTCTAATATTTTGTCTTTTCATCCGTGTCATAAAAGCACCATATACAAATTCTGATGTTCATTCACAGTTTAGCCAATGGGAATGCATACTATAGGCACTATAACTGCTTCATCTCATTGAAGCTGTTGAAATGTCTGGAGTCCACTTGTGCTATCCTTCCACTAAGCATTAAACTGTTTTTAAAGGAACACTATAGGATCAGGAACACAAACATGTATTCCTGACCCTATAGTGTTAAAACCACCTACTAGGCCCCCTGTTCCCCTCCTTGCCTCCCTAAATATAGTAAAATCTTACTTGCAAGTCTGTAGCTGCTGGCTCTGCCTCTGATCTACCCATGTCTGCTGACATCCTCAGAAGTGGTGGTCTGAGCCAATCACAATACTTCCCAATTGGATTGGCTGAGACCGTCAAGGAGGCAGATCAGGGGCAGAGTCAGCACAAATGAAACACAGCCCTGGCCAATCAGCATCTCCTCAAAGAGATTAATTGAATCAATGCATATCTATGAGGAAAGTTCAGTGTCTACATGCAGAGGGTGAAGACACACTGAATGGCAGTGCTGCTTACTCTGCAGCACTGCCCCAGGAAGCAGTTTTAGCAGCCATCTAAAGAGTTATCACTAGGCTGTCATGTAAACACAGCATTTTCTAAAAAAACAAACAAACAAAAAAAAAACAGTGTTTACAGCAAAAAGCCTGAAGGGAACAATTCTACTCACCAGAACATATAAAATAAGCTGTAAAACAAGATATTACAAGCAATCCATCCCCTTTTTGCTGCAAGGGCTAATGAGACAGCATTGGCTGGAGTAGCGGTGGGTGGCTATGATTGGCTGATATTGTCAGCTTATTGCTTTCAGCCTGTCACAGTGCCCATTGCAGGTATGAATTGGTATGGCTAAAAGGAAGTGTGTCATCTCTGCCTTAGATATACCTCCAGTAGTGACGGGGTGTGGGTAGTCAGAGACCCTCATTAATTGTTAAATAATGGTTTAACAGTGAATGGAGGGACAGTGCCAGAGGTTTTCAACCACTATAACAAACTCAATAAGATGAAGTCGTTATAATGCCTACAGTGTCCCTTTAACTATTGAGTTAAATCTCTGAATTGGTAAGTTAGCCAGTGGCACATGGTATTGAAGTTTTTTTTTTATTTTTTATTTTTAATGGGTGTGATAATAATAGAAAATCTCATGATGAGATCTATAATTAACAAAAAATAAACTAAATTAAATGTGTATTTCAACATAAAATGTGTATGCAAAATGTTGTTTCCAGATAAATTAAGTTCTTAGGGATTTCAAAGTTGGTATATAAGGCAAAACTTTACTCAAACAATTTACAGATTAGATAAATTAATGTTCATTATTGTTTTACTTGTTAATTACATACACATAATACCTGTGTATAAAAATTGATCTAAATGGTCTTCCAAAATGAATAAAAAATTGGATAAGATTTGTGTGTTTTTTCTCGTTATGCAATTGAATGTGCTATATTATCAAGCAATAAAATATGTTCTCATTTTTTCAAAACAACGTATTTATGGTCATGTTTTTAATGTTAGCTTTGAGGACTATACAGATTTTTTTAGTTTAAATTGTGTGAGACTAAGTTAGTATTATAGAGGCAAAATCTGGTTTTATTAAATCCCCCCCAAAATATTTTCAGTCTCCAATTTGTTTTTTTTGTGTGTGGATGGATATAATTTATTGGATTTTATTAAACTTACTATGTGACTAATTCTAACTCCATTCTTTTTTTCAGAATTATGTTCTCTCAGATTTTCTCCTCCAGTCTAGTTTCAGTCTATCTCGTTCTCTCCAATATATGTCTCTCTATTCATTTTAGCAAACCCTTGCATCTCTCTCTATCAACATGTAATCCCTCCTGGAATCTGTCTACCTTATCACAAATGAATTGTGCAGACAAAAAAACAAACAAGCACTCAAGGACAGTCTGCTCTGGTTTCAAAATTAATAGCAATATCTATTGTGAGATAATTGAAACACAGCCTTCCATATATCTCTGTCTCTACTTCTTTTTTTTTTTTTTTTTTAAAATAAAACAACTTTAATACAGATATATTATCAGAACAAAGAAAAAATACAATGTTAAATACTTATTAAAATCATGGCTATTCATTGCCGTGCCATGGGATTAATACCACCATAGATAGAATCAAGAATAATGACAATACTAGCTTGACTTTTAATGACTGTTAATGTTTCCCTTTACCTTTAGTTCATCTCTTAAGGACAGTGTGAGTCATAACCATTAATTATAGTACTTTGCCCTCTTGATGGCTTTGATTCTTAAAGGACCACTATAGTGCCAGGAAAACATACTCGTTTTCCTGGCACTATAGTGCCCTGAGGGTGCCCCCACCCTCAGGGACCCCCTCCCGCCCGGCTCTGGAAGGGGGAAAGGGTTAAAACTTACCTTTTTCCAGCGCTGGGCGGAGAGCTCTCCTCCTTCTCTCCTCCTCCGTTCCTCCTCCTGGGTTGAATGCGCACGCGCGGCAAGAGCTGCGCGCGCATTCAGCAAAATCACATAGGAAAGCATTTACAATGCTTTCCTATGGACGCTGGCGTGCTCTCACTGTGAAAATCACAGTGAGAAGCACGCAAGCGCCTCTAGCTGCTGTCAATGAGACAGCCGCTAGAGGCTTTGGGGGAAGGCTTAACCCATTCATAAACATAGCAGTTTCTCTGAAACTGCTATGTTTATGAAAAAATGGGTTAACCCTAGAAGGACCTGGCACCCAGACCACTTCATTAAGCTGAAGTGGTCTGGGTGCCTAGAGTTGTCCTTTAAGCCATTTTAGCACCACAAAAGTAATGAGTAAATATATGTGTGATAGAACCCTGTGTAGGCTGGGGAAACATCTAGTTGTCCTATGCATACCAATTAGATGTGAAAAGATCAGCAAATCGGGTATCTTTTAAGACACTGAGGATAGGTGGGTATGGGTTAACAGTGTTGTAGCTAAGAAAAGATCCTTTCACCAGGAAACATTTTCAAAGGCACTGCCTATGCTAACATATATTTAGGTGAATGATGAGAGGATAGAACTAGGCCTATATAAGGTGTATCTTTGCATACTCGGTACCCATTTGCATACTGTAATTGGAAGCAGGTGGTACATTTTTCTACCAGGTATTAGATGCACGGTTATGGCACTTTTATGGACCAGGGTTCTGGAAACACATAGCTCATATTTTTACAAGAGAAGCATAGCAAGTCTTCACTGATTAATACACAGGAGGGAACCCTATTTTTAACACAGATGTCAATAAGTACCGGCACTGTTAATAATAGAATACTGAAACAGAAGGTATATTAAATAGAGTCCTACTCTTTGAGGAACAATTTCCGAACACTCAGTCTTTAAGGATATATATTGTTCATTTCATTCTAGTAATTTTTCGCTTAAGCATTAGTCAAATCAGACAATATTATTGGTTAACAAAAAAGTCGATAGACACTGACAATGGAGTAAAACATTTTTTTATCAAAATAAAATACATTGCACAATAGTGTACTGTGTATTATTATTACAATACAAATATGTTGTTAGTTAAATTCTGTGAGTATAAAGTGTTCTGTTACTATGAATCATAATCTGATAATCATATGTTTGCTTCTCTATATGACAAAATATACATTGTATAAAAAAATAAGTTTATTAAATGTTGATAATATTAGAGGGCAAACGTATATAACCTTTTCTTTTATATTTATTAAAACTGGAATCAAATGTAAGAGAAACAGACTTTCCAGGATGGGAAAAAAACACACAAAAACACAAAACTTTCTGTTAAAAGCTGTACAGTATGGAGCAGAACCGACAGCAAAACATTTCAAAAAGAATGAATGAAACTACCTACCAAGTTAAAAGAAGCCACCTTGTAGCTAATGTGAACTGATTACAGTTGCTTCATTTATTCATTCTTTTCAAGAATTAAGCTACTTGCAGGCAGACCTCTGATCCTAAATGGCTACTTACAGCCTCATGTACAATGCTATCATAGAAAGCAATGAGAGAAATGTAGGAATCCCACATGGGAAACATATAGCTGTGTTTTTGCTTTCCTAGAGCTATCTCAAAGAGAGATAAGATGAGTTAAGAATTGTTTTTGTTTTTTTTGCAAACACCCTGCATCAGGTATCTCGCAAAACGTAAATAAACCAGAATGATTCTTGCACCTAAGGTGCCTGGAGTGTCCCTTTTCCTAATGCACATATAGCTTGTGTTTAGCTTTTACTCAATTTTGTTACATTTTTAGAAATAAATGCATTATAACTGTTAGGATGATACACATAACATAAATAATATTATTTAAACTTTGAATATGAATTCATCAAATTTCTTTAGCAAAACAGAAATTGTCCAGTTGGAATCAGTTTGAGTAAAATTGTCCAAAAATATGCAAAATTAAAACTGACATTTCCTCATGTGAATTATAACATCTTTATTTCATATGTTGAAATTTAGTTGAAAAACTCATACTAAGTTATACTGAGCCATTTACTGCTCAATTGACTGTTTCCTATATAAACTCTGGTTTCCAAATTTTGGCATATCCTGCTACAATTAAGATAAACCAGAACAAAACCTGAAATAAAATAAAAACATAGCGGTTCCTCTTTACATATGATGGAGTGGTTTTATAATATAAAAAATAACCAGAAATTATAAAATAGCATATTCTAGTTACATCTATGATGGTGTCAATTTATACCCATGATGTTATGAACTTGTTAAGCCTTTTTATTAACATTTTATTGTGCATAGTGCCCTAATAGTTTTTTTCTTTTCCTACAAAAAACTCCTGTTTCTTTGATATAAAAACCTTTATTCATAGAAATTCTCATAGATAGTCCTTGATTATTCAGTGCACTTAAATACACACACGCACAGCTTATTTTTTGTTTCTTAAAAAGTAATAGCAAATAATATATATATATTTTTTATATCATTTATCATAATTTCTCTTTCCTATGTATTATACATTTTTAATCGGGAAGACTTTTTGGTTTATCGCACAGAATACTTACCTACCATAAAGCCACTGTATAGTTTATACAGATAAAGTGCAAAAATATTATGGCTATATGTCATCCTGAGGAGCCTCGAAATGTTCATCTTGTGGCAATGGAAGAGTACAATTCAGAAAATGTATATACTGTTCTGGTTTTCAATGTAACTTAGTTCTATATGCTTCTCATTTAAAATGCATAATATATGCAATATTCAAATCAGTTTAATTGCATAGATTTTCGAGAGAAAAAAAAACCCATTCATAAAAACAGGATTTTCACTATATAGTCAATGGAATTCCTGAGAGTATTTTTATTTGGTTGTGTCTTCTAAACAGTCCTCGGGGATCTTCTCCTCCGAGCAACTTCTATCCGAGAGTCTGTCAAGTTGCTCCATTTCTGTGAATCTCTCAGCCACACACTGTGCAGTGAGTCGAGCTTCTGGGTCGTGGTCCCAACATTCTGTTATAGTTTCACAGACAAGTTGAATGCCCTGGAACGAGAATTAAAAGTGAGAATTAAAATAGTGAAAATATTTCACTAGTAGGAGCAGAGTCAACATCCAAAACTAAAAACCGACTATTTCCCTAGAGCAGTTTTTGATTGTGTAATAAACAATTTTAGGTAGAGAATGGCATTAATTTTACTGTTTAAGGTAAAGTTCCCTCACTAAGTTAAACCTGGGAATGGTGGAGTACTAAGAACCCTACTTATCATTCTCACATTTTGGCCCTTTGTAAGTATCCATGTCCATCCCCTGTAGCCATGTCCCCTTCTTCAGCTATTCATGTTCCCTGCAGTCATGATCCTCTCCCAGTCATCCATGTCCCCTTTAACTGTGTTTCCTTAATACTTGTTCAGGGATTGGGTTTCTCCTGCAATTTTATTTTGCCTCTGCATTGGTCCTCCCTTGCGCAGTAGAGAACAGTTGTTGGATTTACATCGATTGAGTGCCTCTATGAACAGTCTGACATGGGGATATGATTCACACATAGAAATAGACAAATAGGAAGGGGAAATCAGATGGTAAATAGTCTACTATACTCAGCTGTTTTGAAGTAAGCTAAGTATCATTTTGTGGGAAGATCTGTTACCATAACTGGAGCAACAGTATATGGCTCTCAACTGTCACATTTTATGTTTCTGGTTTAAAGCATTAAAGACTGATGATATTCTTTATCACAATTATCTCCTCTGATGAGACCCGATGCTGCCATGGCATTTCCTACTCATTTAGTATAAGCAAGAATCTAAATAACTGCTGTTAATAAGCAAGACTGTCTATAGTAGCATAGTGTCTGCAAGAACCAAGATAGGGAGTGGGCATGGACTTTCATTGGTCATTAAGCTTAATACATTCATTATTAAACTGTCAGTCCTGTGCAAGCCAGATTACATCTTTTTTTGTGCATATATTCCATATATCCTATAAATAGACCATCTTGTGCAACATTACCCGTTTAACGGAATTTTCCCATAATCCATATACTCATTGATGACATCTAGGCAATCCAGTTGCTGACGGAATACAACCCTGTAGTTTGATCAACTTTCCAATGTACACATAAGAAAAATTACCTGGTGATTGAGCCAGTTGTTGATTATTTCAGGTCTACCTCTGTCTCTCAATACATTGTCCTTCATACTTTCAACACAGGGATGTTCCCTCACTTTGGAACCAAATGGAGGTTCATAGTCTTTTACCTCTGTACAGGAAAATCATTGAAAAAAAAAATATATGTTAATGTACAATTGACCATTCATGTATACCACACCAAGGACAATATTCCTCTCTTCAGTATTTGAACACATGGTAATTTAAAAGCCTATTGAGATTTTTAACATGCCAAGCTAGCTCATATAGACATTCCTAACATTTTAAAGAACAGCAGTAGAGGAGGAGAAGATGTACAAACTCAGATTAATTTTCAGCTATTCTCTGGATGATCTACTGAGTGGTACATTAAAAACAATCCCTTTAAAATAATGTGCATTATAATGGTATACACAAACGACTTCTGGATTACATAGTCACAGATGTCACAGTATTGATATTGATTTCGAGCCAAGATACCCGATTTCAGGTAAGCATAAGGAATTGCCTTCTCACTAAGAGCAAGACTTTGGAAAATAAGGCTTTTACTTGTTCAGTTAATAATTGGACCACTAGATTATTCCTACTTTTCTTCAATGATTTTAAAACTTCATGAGGGATGCCATTCACAAACATAACAAACATTCACAGCATGCCATTAACAATGGAACGACATTATTAGTTGTCAATGTAATTATATAGTCACTATAAGAAGCATATCTTTACAGATCAATGCACAGTTTACTCCACTGTTCACAGACATGGAGTATTTCTAGAGGATCTAATATCAAAATGATCAATTTCTTTCAACTCTTCACATTTTCATTTCAGAAAGAAACAGTGTATTACAATTAATTGTGGTTAACTGTCAAATGCTTTTTGCAGGTGACAGGGTTAGATAAATTATATTTTTAAACTCTACTAGGTTTTTTATTTTTACTGCTTTTGATAATATAATCTCTTATAAGCGCTTACACATCAGGGCTTTGACAGACATAGTTTCAATTAATATTGATGGTATACTTAACTTGGCAATGAACTCATAAAAATGCCTACTAAGCGAATTCAGAATAATTCAGATTTAGCATTCCATTAAAAAAAAAAATGCTTTATACTCTCGAATAGTAAGAAAATAAATATTAAGTGGGCAATACATAAAACAAAGCCGCATCAAACATGCAAAAAAATGTTTCCCTAAAAACACAAAATAGGTACATATGTGTAGCTGCTAAGGAAGAGTTCAGGGTAGGTGTGATCAGTGGTGTATTTTGGATCTGTGCTGCTCCAGGCATGACGGAACTTGGGCACCCCCTAATTTAAATTTGCCCCACCCTTTCTTGTCAATGCCACACCTCTTCCTGTTAAAGACTAACACACACTTTGACTGACAGACACACACTCTCAGATACACTAACATACACTGATTTGACACAATCTGACAGACACACACAATCACTGACAGACACGCACACACTGACACACACACACACAATGACACACACATTCACTGACAGACACGCACCCCGACCGACAGACACACACGCTCTCTCAGACCCATAGGCTCCCTCACAGAAACACACTGACAGATATAGACACACTGAAAGACATAAAAACACACACACTGAAAGCCAGCCAGACACATACACACACACATTTCCCCCAACACTCACAGATTATTTATTTTAATTTAAATCCACCCAGCCTCCCTACCTTTGGGAGAGCTGGGTGGATTTTGTTTTACCTGGGGTCCAGTGGGGCTGCTGGCCGGGCTGTTTGGGCAGTACTAACATAGGGGTCATCTTCAGGAAGAGATAACAGTGCTAACACGGGGTTCATTCTTCAGGAAGAGGTAACTGCTTACATGGGGTTAATTTATCAAGAAGAGGTAACTGCTTACATGGGGTTCATTCGTCAGGAGGAGGTACGTGTGATTTGTTTTTCAGTCGTGCATGACAGGAAGTAGACACAGAATACACATCATTTAAGCACCAAGGAAACATGTCCTTCCTCAGGAACTGGTTGGCATGATTTCCTTTTTTTAGACCAAAGATATGTTGCCATATTTCACTCATCACCCATACACAACAGGAAAAGAGGAGCATCAACGCCCAGGGCTCTGTTACCCGTCTTATTGTTAATTCAATATCTGGGTGACAACATAAAGAACAGACCCACCATATCCCAGTAAAGAGCTTTCCGTACTAGCAGGTTACAAGCATCCCTTCTGAAATACAAGTTATGCAAGTCTTGAGGGCAAGTTTTAGTTTAGTTTTTATCCCAAGGCGCACATTGAATCTTCATAAAAGCCTATTTATGGAGTTATATTTTTGAAGATTGGAGATGTGTTCCAGGCGCGCACTGCAGAGTGATTACGGGAGCCGGAATGTGACGTCATATTCCCGTTCCCGGCATTGCCCTGAGGCGCGTGCGCCTGGAAGTCAGCTAGCCACCTGCTCCGAGGCTAACAAGGTATTTGCCTGGGTATTTGGGGGTGTATTTTTTGTCGCCCCCTGATTAAGTGCAGCGCATGGCAAATGCCTTTTTTGCCTCTCGCCCAATACAGCGCTGGGCGTGATATACACTCAGCTTTGATTTATGGTCTATCCTGTTCCTGTCTATTCTCTTCCCCGGGTGTTAATGCATCTTTGAAATACCTGTGTATTTTGTGATTTTTGTGATATATTTTTTTTTTTTACATTTTCAAATGATTTTGTCATATAAATGATTTTTGTAATTTACCGACTTCATATGTTTCAGCGTTGAAGCATAAACTATATTTTTTTCATGAGAAGCTACAGAATTTATACAAACAGAAAAAGTATAAACTCATTTCAATAAATAAATAAATTTTAAAGGGGAACTGTCACTTCTCAGGATGCTTAATATTATGTTTGCAATATATATTTAATATATATAGGGATATGTAAAGTGTAAAAAATCTAATGAAATGTAGAAATAAACCTCTTCATCCTCCAACTAGGTGCTTCCATCTAAACTAAAGTGTCATATTGTCCTTAGCAGTCAGCGTAGAGAAAGAATGCAGAGCAGAAAAGAAATGAAACAATGGTTACATTTCTTCTCTTTGTTTGCCCTGGATATGTCTTGTCTGAATTGAATTATGTTTTATCAACTTAACAGAAAATTAAGCGTTGAATGAAACAGAAGTTAAAGGATCACTATAGGGGCAGGAACACAAACTTGTATTCCTGACCCTATAGTAAAAACCAACCCTTTAGGTGGCTTGCGTCCCCCTTTCAATGGGTTAAAACTAACCTTATTTCCAGCTCTCCACGGGTCCACCGGCGCTGCCCCCCCACCTTGTTGACATAATCAAAATTGCCGATATTTAGCCAATCCAATGCTTTCCCATGAATCAATGCATCTCTATGAGGAAAATTCTGTGTCCCCATGCAGAGCGTGGAGACACTGAACGGCAGGACTGCTTACTGTGCAGCCCTGAGCCAGGAAGCCCCTCCAGTGGCCATCTAAGGAGTGGCCACTTGGAGGTGTCCCTAGGGGCAATGTAAACACTGAAAAGGCAGTGTTTGTATAAAAATGCCTGAAGGGAGTTATTATACTCACCAGAACAACTACATTAAACTATAGTTGTTCTGGTGACTGTAGTGTGCCTTTAAGACACGTTACAGGTGATAATTCCCCTTTGCTTTTTTAAATGTATTTATTTTTTTGGTGTTGCTTTAGAATTCCAACCATTCTGCTCCTCCTTCTCAACATGTATTTGTTTCCCTTTTTGATCCAAAAATGCTGCTGTAGACGATATCGATTTAGGTTTGTGTGAGTTGTAGTTCAGCTTTTAGTGGTATTTCATTACTCGTCTAAAAAAGAAACGATCATAGAAACCTACAGAATATCTCTCAACATTTAGTACTTGGCTACAGGACAGCATGACATGATAAATCCCTTTCTGTGCATATTTTTTGCAAAAACCTGAAATGTTATAATTACCTCCAATGGCAGTACAGCGAGATGTTATTTCCCATAACACAAGTGCCATTGAGTACACATCTGTTTGCTTAAATGATTCCATGTTCTCCAGATTAATTCTAGATTCCAAGACCTCTGGAGCCATATATCTCGCTGTTCCAACCTATAGAACAAAGAATTTAAACATTGTAAATGAAAGTCAAAGTGCTGCAAACATTCTTCAGCTGTCTACATATGTATTACAAGAATGCCATAACATAAATACATGTCTGCCAAACATAAGAATAGTTTAAAGGAAAACTCCATACACCTATAGTGCTTTATGTTGTGAATAGTGTGTGTTTTTTTTCATTTAACATAAATTGCAGTTAATGGAAATTGCCACTTTTATAAATGAACTGTGCTACGTCCCTGACTGTCAGACTGGTCCTGTTACTTCCTGGTTGTTTAGCACAGTGGAGCTTAACTGCTGAGGCAGGTAGTTGCTCAGTGCACCTGTCTTAAAAAGAATTTTCATTGAGCTGCATTGGGAAATGTGTCATTGGACAGACACAGAAAGTCTGGGCAGGGCAAGAAGGTGAGGGCTTGCAAAGGCTGCAGACAAGAAATCTGCAGCTTTTACAAGTTTTGTTTTTTTATAAACCTCAAATTAAAAAATGCATTATAAAATGAATGCATCTTTCAATTGAAGGTATATCTACTAAATAGTAATTTGTAATATGATTTGGCAGTGGGTGTGTATGTGTTAGTGTCTATATAGTGTGTGTGTGTGTGAGCGTGCATAGAAGTGTATGTCCATACATGCCAGCATTCAAAACGCCAACACTACATACAACCACACCCCTGCATTAAAATACCATAACTGAATACAAACACATGCCACACAAGTACATCACTGTTTTCAAATAGTAACAGTACATACAAACATACAACTGCATTCAAATGTTAACACTACACACAAATACAATCCATACATGCACACACATGCTCTATACAAAAACATTTCTACATTTAAACTGCTCACAAATAAAACCTTGCGAGGATCGGCATATGTTAGATCCCCAGCTGGAAAACCATTGTGGCCGCCCTTGCGCTATATGGGGCCCAAGAAAACTTCTTTCACCAGAGCCCTCTCTACAGTAGTTCCACCACTGCTTATGATTTTGACAGCAATAGTAAAATATGATTTGGAACTTAGGGAATAATAGATGTATATGAAGTCTTTGGTTGAGAGTAATGACAGGGTTTGTGAAGATCAAGTTTTGTTCCATTAGAACATAAAAACTGGTATGTTTAACACCTGATTTCATTCACTTTGTAGACTGAAAGCTCGTTTGAGCAGAGTCCTCTTCAACCTATCGTTCCTGTAAGTTTTCTTGTAATTGTCCTATTTATCGTTAAATCCCCCTCTCAAATAATTACGGAATTTATTGGCGCTATATAAATGGCAATAATAATAATAATAATGAAGAACGTGTTCAGTACTTCTTGGATGAGGAATTTAAAATGGTTATGAGATAATTTTCCTTAAAGTGAACATGTCGTGGCAGGTTCACTTTAACAGAGGAATTCCTGTGATTGCTGTGCCAGAGTGCAGTAGGACCATATACATATATATGTCTTACATTTTGTGCTAGGGATTCAGTTATATCTTAAAGCATACACTATTCTTTGCAACTACCAAGTCACTAGGAAAGTCACTAAAACAAATATAGTTTTGCCACTTATGCTTGTTATAGGCCCACTGAATATCTGATCGGATTGTACGGCATCATCACCCTTGTGAGAGCGTTGAACCAGACATCATATACGTCACCCATGGATGCAAGGCCAGACATTCTAGGTTTGCCTATGGCTGCCTGTCATTCATTGGCTATATAACATAACGCACATTGCCACACACAGAAACATGCAGATGCACACTGACACACACAGTTGCATACAGACACATATACACACAGATACACTCTAAGAGATAAAAACACATGCACACTGACACACACAGATTGATACACATGAACAGGAACACTGACACACATGCACATTTACAGATCCACAAACACTGACACAGATACAACAAACACACATAGATACAGTTATCCTGCTGCTCTGCACATCTCAAATGCTTTTCCTCATGTCTGGTAAGCTTCTCTGGAGCCCTGCAATTTACTATTTCAGGGCTCCATGGTGCCTGTGAGAGCATTGGTGCCCTGAAACAGTTACACTAGCTGCACGGTTGGTAGTTCCATGCCTGTTTTCTACCACGCCTGTTCTTACCATAGTCTTTCTGGCCTGTCTAAACCAACTGTGAATTATTGTATTCCCTGCCTGCACTGTACAGGAGAATGTATGTTTTCATATGTAGAGGAGTAAGATATAGTGACGTGCACATACCAAGTTAGGTTTAGAGTAAAATGTTTTTCCCCACACTGGCACATGCATTAAAAATGCACATATTATGCCCTTCCACAGTCACATAGTTCACATTCAGATGGAATTTATACAACCTTAATTCCTAAGAAAATATTGGTAGTTTTTATACCAGAAGATATATCATATCTTTATTATATTGTGGTTTTCCATCCACTGCATGTTATTTATTTTCCCTATAACCCATTTTTTCTGGACATGTTGCATTATCGAGGACATTTTATTATCCCTCTAACATTGTATACCACAAAATGTCTACAAAAGATGTATAGATATATTAAATTTAAATCTTCACATTTTTAAATACTTTGCAACACTCATGCATTTTGTAAAATGTATTCAGCATGTAATGTAATATCATACACATTCTCAAACTTAAGGTGTCTTGAGTTTAAAAACAAAATATGGTTCAGTAGAGCTGAATTAGAGTTGTAATGAACAGTTAACAGCTACTCCAAAAAAACGGGGAACTCTTACTTACCTGCCCACTATTAGCAAGATCATCTACACTTAGCGAAGGATCTAACCAAAGAGATAAGCCAAAGTCGCACAGGCAGCAAGTCAGGTCATTTTTGACAAGAATGTTTGAGCTTTTTAAGTCTCTGTGAACAATTGGGGTTTTATGTCTTCCACACGGTGTGTGGTCACTATGCAAATGTGCCACCCCTCGAGCCAAAGAACCTCCAAGGTTTAAGAGACCATCCCAGCTGATGATGTGCCTTGTTAGGTAATCTTGCAGATTGCCTTGTGAATGAAAGGCAGTGATTAGCCAATACTGTTTCCCAAGATCAGTCTTCCTCTCTTCAGCAGTTAAGAACTGCAGAATATTTTCATGTTTCAGATTTATGTCTGAAAATATCTCCTTCTCCATCTTCCAGGATCCATACTCTTCATAAGGGAAAATTTTCACAGCGACTGTTTCAAATTGTTCAGAAGTATTTTGCTTAAGTTTTGCCTTGTACACTTCAGCAAAACGGCCTTTTCCGACCAAAGTATCTAGTTCAATGGGTAGGAGCTCTGTGTTGTGATTCAGGTTGTTGGCACATGTTGAGCTGATATCGGAACGGTCATCATCGATCATGATAGCATGATCATCACTGCATCCCTTATGCTTTGTGCATTTGTTATGCTTGTCCCACTCACTGGGGTGTTTGTTTTTCCTTAGAACACGGTAGCAGTAAAAGGTGATAATAACTGCTACAGCAATCCCAATTGGTGGAAGAAGACTTATCAGTGCCACGTAGGGGTTCCAATTTTTAACCACTAAGGAAAACAAATAAATACAAAGAGTTTGAATAATGATATATCACACTATATAATTATATATATAATATAAGATATAATACTTAAACAATTTTAAACTTTAGAGGAGCCAGTTATCCTCCACGTGAACTTTGAGGGTTGAAAAAACTGACAGTTTTTAGGGTTTTTTTCATGCAAATGATGTGCTACTCCAACTCAAAAAAATGCACTTACCTTAAATTACATATTTTGTAGATTTTCATTCTGACTAATGGCTCTTACAGGGTAATTAGAAGCTCAAATGCAACGATATGCAGTTGAGTTCTGTTAACGCTCAGAGATTACCTTTGACATTACATATGGCATTGGCAATTTAGGAGAATGCTGTGATTCACTAAATGATTGCACATTTCATAAGAATGGAACCAAACTAAACTTGCATGTCAGAGCACTCTGATCAGAGGACCTTGGAAGCCAACCAATCAGAGCTCTGTAAAAGACAATTCAAAACATGGGCTTTCTCGCATTGTCAGTCAAAGCAGAACTCTCTATGGCTTCCTTTTGATTTTATTTTACTGATTCTTTTTTTTTATAGTTGCATTGGTGGATTTTTATTTGCCTTTTTTAGGCAAAAAAAATTAGATTATAAAAGAAAATGTTTTTTAGGTGTTAAAAAAAACGTTTGCAGGCACAAACCCAATAGCCATGGATGGAGGCATAGATGTAGACCAGTGTAAGACATCGTAGGGTGGGGATTAAAGAAGACATTGTACATCCCTATTATTAGATGGGAGTCATATTGACCTCATTAGGCTTTTCTTTTTCTGTTTTACTGCTGGCCAACCACCACATAAGTTAACCTTTGCACCTTCAAGGTCTTTTCAGCTATTTGCTTGCAAATAGTCTTGATTTTTCTCTTTCATTTGCAAAAAGTAAAAAAATAAAAATCATCCAGACTAAATTTATGGATAAGTAAATAGACATTTAAGTGTTCTCTTACCAATGTTCATGTTTTTATTTTGTTTTTTAAGTTAAGATCACTTTGAGCACCATAAAAAGATTACATCATTGTAGTGTGCACTCATTCTCTCTTCCCAAAAGAACGTCTAACTGCAGGGATTTATAAAGATCAATGCAACTGTAAGACTGCTAATGGATAAGGTAATTCATAGATTATAGGTGAGCCGTATTCACAACTTGAATGGACATCTCTCTCCTCCTCTTTCTGGAGAAAAGCCTAAACAGTAGCTATGAGCTGCACATACCAATGTTCATAAAGCAGTGACTAAGGCTGTACATAAACTACACCAGCTAAGAGTGTCTCATTCTATGGGGTCTATGCATATCTATTAAACCCATGTCCATTAGGGGTTTACAATATAAGCAATTTATACCCAGAGAACAATTCAACTCATCAAACAGGATAAGTGTACAGCTATCAATTTACACACAGATCAGGTCACTATCTCATATACTGGACTGTGTGCGGCAATCAGCAGAGCCTTAGAGGAGAAAGAGCTAAATCCAAGTTAAGTACAAATTTTATAACAGGGAGCCGAAACGGAGCATTTTGGCTACCTGACTGACAGATCATTGAAGTTCTAAGCTACTCTCAGAGCTGAGAGTTAATGCACCATTAGTTTTACAATCTTTTACCATCATGATGGTGCTTAGGGCCTTTAAAGTGCATTAGGTACGTCAAATACAGGCAGGGACAGGAGGATAAAAAAAGCAGAGAGAGCGGGCATTAAGGAGATAAGAGAAAGAGAAATAAACAGAGGTTTAAAGGATCACTATATACAAACTCATTTTTCTGACACTATATCATCCTTAGGAACCCCCCACCCTCAGGGTCCCCCTCCCGTTTTAACCCCTTCAGCCACTTACCTTTATCCAGCGCCAGGCTCCCTCAGCGCTGATGACCTCTCCTCCCCCACGAACATCAGCTCCTGAGTGGAGCAGAATGCGAATGCGTGGCAAGAGCTGCGCGAGCATTCAAACAGTCCATAGGAAAGCATTTCTCAATGCTTTCCTATGGACGTTCTGCACGCTGAATGCAAATTTTGCATGCAGCGTCGGGGAAGCGTCTCTAGCGGCTGTCAGGAAGACAGCCACTAGAGGTTGGATTAACCCTGCAATGTAAACATAGCAGTTTCTCTGAAACTGCTATGTTTGCATCCGAAGGGTTAAAACCTGAGGGACCTGGAGCCCAGACCACTTCATTGAGCTGAAGTGGTCTGGGTGACTATAGTGTCCCTTTAATAAGAACTCATAAGAGTTGAAGAGTATACACAATAGCAGAGTTGAAATTGCTGAAGATCATCACTTTAACTAATATATATCTATACACAGTAGTATTATGCAGTAGCAAACTTACCTTCACGAAAGTATAAATTTTTGTTGCATTCGCTGTCATTGCACGAGCACATATACATTGTCTCACCAGCAGCCATCTTCTTTTCTTTCATTAGGCACTTTGAGCTGTTGTAGTCATCTAACATGTGATCAAACAGAGGCTTCCTAGGGTCATGGCACATTGCATCCATGGTAGTGGTCTCAGTTTCATCCTTCCTCCTTTGAAAAAAAAGCAAAAGTTATCCAAGTAAAATACAGCTGCTATCCGGATGCAGTAGGCTCTAAATAGCACTTTTTTCATGTTTTTTTCTCATAGGTATTGATAATTATAATTTCCCAGTATTTCTTTACTTATAATTGTTTTTATTTTTTTGATGTTGAACTTTTGTTTGTTATTTCATTACAAAAACAAGGCGCACTTACCAATATACATCTTGTTCTATCCTCCAGTTATTCTCTCCTTTATTCCATTTCTCTCTGTGTCCCCTATTTCCCTATCCTCTCTAAATATTTATCATTGGTGGTAATAAACAGGGCTCTGTATAGCATAATGTAGTGACAGATCTGTACTTCCTTCTCCAAAACAATTATTGATCCGTCCCATACAGGTGTGATATTATCACGCTATCAGTATCTCACAGTCAATTGCACGTTGTGGAGGAACGAACAATGTTAAGCCTGAAGAAGGAGTGCATAAGTCATACTACAGCAAAGAACAGTAAAGTACAGTAAAACATGTTATGTGCTACATATGTTTTTCTAGCTTCTCCTTAAAGGACCACTATAGTGCCAGGAAAACATACTCGTTTTCCTGGCACTATAGTGCCCTGATGGTGCCCCCTCCCTCAGGGTCCTCCTCCCGCCCAGCTCTGGAAGGGGGAAAGGGGTAAAAACTTACCTTTTTCCAGCGCTGGGCGGGGAGCTCTCCTCCTCCGATCCTCCTCTTCTCCTCCCATGCGGCTGAATGCGCACGTGTGGCAAGAGCTGCGCGCGCATTCAGCCGGTCACATAGGAAAGCATTCATAATGCTTTCCTATGGACGCTGGCGTGCTCTCACTGTGAAAATCACAGTGAGAAGCACGCAAGCGCCTCTAGTGGCTCTCAATGAGACAGCTGCTAGAGGAAATAGGGGAAGGCTTAACCCATTCATAAACATAGCAGTTTCTCTGAAACTGCTATGTTTATGAAAATATGGGTTAACCCTAGCTGGACCAGGCACCCAGACCACCTCATTAAGCTGAAGTGGTCTGGGTGCCTAGAGTGGTCCTTTAAGTGCTGCCAGCAACTACAATGGCACCAGATATATATTAGCTCAGGATAACAGATAAGAAAATTACAAAAACAAAAAAAACAACACAGGACAGGTATAAAAAGTATTACTGTTTCTAGAAAATAATTTCCTATGGGGACAAGGCTACATAACACTTAAAGGGACACTGTAGGCACCCAGACCACTTCAGCTCATTGAAGTGGTCTGGGTGCTGTGTACCCTTTTGCACCAATGCTGCAATGTAAAACATTGGAGTTCCATAGAAACTGCAATATTTACATTGCAGCTCTAAGTCTGCCCGCACTGGGGGCGCTTCCTGAATCGAAACAGACTTTTGGTCCGTTATCTGACGCTGGACGCCCTCAAGCTCTGCATTGATTCAATGCTTTCCTATGGGGAGTACTAATGAGCATGCAGCATTTGCCGCACATGCACATTAGACCCTGCTTGTCACAAGATGGAGGGGGGGAGCGGAGCTTTGACCCAGCGCCGAGGGATCTCAGCGCTGGGATCAGGAAAGTAAATAAAGGGTCAGCTGCTTGACATAAAACTATTGATATATGTACATCGAAAGCACATTTATCACCATTTTTAATGACTAACCTTGTTATGCCGCAGCGACTGGCCATGTCCCCATGGCTGAAATAATCAATCTTGACGATCTTAGCCAGTCCAATGCTTTCCCATAGGAAAGCATTGGGAGGTTATTGCGCATGCGCGGCAAAACGACACACTGTGCCCATCATCATTTCCTTAGAGAGATGCATTGAATCAATGCAGTTCTAAGGGGAGCGTTCAACATCTGAGTGACTGCCACTAGAGATGTTACTAGGCAGCAACGTAAACACTGCCTTTTCTCTAAAATGACAGATTTCATTGCTGAGCCTGCAGGGACTTGCTATAGACACCATAACCACTACATTAATCTGTAGTGATCCTGGTGACTATAGTGTCTCTTTAGTATATCATACTTGCATTAATATACAAGTACACACAACAGCCTTTATACACAGCCCTATATACTCGCTACATCCCGTATACCCACACTCAATACATGCCGGCAGGCGGGACAGGGATGGCACTGATCGCAGCTCTAAGTACCTGCGAGAAGGTGGTGGAATGGAGGGTGGATTTGGCGTGGGCCCTGGGAGTCCAGGCTTTGAACTGTGTAAGGATCCCAAAATTTCTAATGCCAGTCCTGAACATCACTGCCTTACATTCAGACCACCTTACCAGTGAGTCTTCTTATGCACATCTGCCTCCTTCATAGATTGTAAGCTCGCTTCAGCAAGGCCTTCATCATCTCTAAATATCACTTTTCTATAATTGTAAAGTGTTGTGGAACATATTGGCACTATATAGATACTAATAATAATAATTTCACCAGGGAGGGAATACTGAGAGGACATGCAGTTGTAGCTCATTATGAAAGAGAATACCTGACCCAGCAAGTCTGATTTTGAATATTACTGGGGTGATTGGAAGAATAACTAAGATTAGAAAGGTGACATTTTACTCATCCTTGTCAATTATTCCAACTGATATGGTAAAACTATCCCCACTTTCCTTTCTTTATCTGATTAGCCAAATCCCTACTGATTTCAAAGAGGTCTCAAGGAGACAATTGAATAAAACACAAATGCATTGTTAACTAGGAATTTAGCAGCACTGCAATATTATAAGCACACAACCTAGGACCACCGATCAAGCTATCAAACTGCCTTATACAGAAATAAACCAACTTACCAGACAGCTACGCAAACTTCTTTTGCGGATTCACAAGTTGTGACAATTGTGCAATCATTCTCACAGAGGTCTTGTGTTGTATCACATTTTGTTGTAACATTAACAATACATAAATAGCACTGTCTGTTAAGAATAACTGTTCCATCATCCTTGGACTCATAAAGATTGTCTTAAAAAAAAAAAAAAAGGCAATTTTAAAATGGTAGCATCTTAGCAGGGATCAATAAACGTAAATAATGTCATACCTATTCCCGTAGACAGCAAGTCTGAAATGTTTAATGGCATTCTCCAAAACTTTCTAATGTTGGCAGTATTTGTAAAGCAATTCTTTGTCTGAATTTGCAGCATTATGATTTTGTTCTTTTTACTGTACACTGCTCCGCAATCAGCAGAAATTAACCTGTCACCGATTTCCATTAAAAAATATTTATATATTATTATATCATTATAATTAAATAATTATGTATATATCATTTTAAATATATAATTTATTTCCCCCATAAACCACACATAATAAGTAAGATGCAATTGGCTTTTGCCTTTTATTAAAAAAAAAAAAAGTATAAGGCAATGTGTAAAAATGTCTAGGTCATTTTTTTTTATCTAGCACACATGCTGAACATGTATCCAGAAATCGGTTACACTATCCTCTTCTAAGTAAGGGGTTCTAGGGACCTCATGCTATCATCAACACCATACCACCCATTCATAGGTCTGGATAGAAAAAGGGATACATCAATCATTTCATAGAAGCCTACCTTTATTGGTATTTTGCACAACTATATTGTTGCTTAGAGAATTCGGATCATCTGAAATAAAAGAGAATATTACAGGTAAAAATGACCAAAATCTAAACAGCACTAAATAAACAGGCAATCGTAGATAAGCAACATTATTTTCTTTTTCTGCAATAGAAAGTGTGTTTTACGCACTACACAATTTCTCTTGAATAGATATGTGCTTACAGATTGGTATTACCCAAATTATGTACAGGGGTAGGGGTGGAGTGCACATGTGCCAGTGATGAAATGCAAATCACGAGTGTGGAAAGGTTCATCTGAAAAGGTGCTCCATCAGGCAAAAAGGGAGCCGTTGTTGACTGGGGATTTACGTGAGTAGTTAAGTTACTCTAAGAGATGTCATGCAACGTACTTGTCCAGATAGATCACACATAAGGAAATTATAACAATTTAATAAGGGGACAAGTAGGTAGTAGTCTGGCTGACCAACTATTAGAGCTTTGCTCAAAAGGTCATTACTCAAAATAAAGACACGCATGAATTCATCAGGCACAATGCAAATTAACCAGCTTATTTTAGTATGTTCTTGTTTTTTTTTTTTACTTTGAAAAAGTTATATCTTTATTTATAGTGACAAAGCTTTCTAGAACAAAAGTATAGTGGTTATTAACCAAAGTGTGAATTGTTAACAATTCAAACCTAATTTCAAATTTTATGAAGAGTGGCAGAACTGAAGAAATTCTAAATTCTATATTTCATAAAAAAAACAGTAGCGCCCTAATTAAACCAGGCCATTTCCAAGGAATTAGCATTAGGTCATACTAGCGTATATTAAGTCAAAAGGGAAATCGATGCTTAAAAACTAAAGTTTACATTGAAATATTTTACCTCCAGTGAACATTGAATACTTATGACAGATTATTTTTATTTCTTAATTACTGATGTTTATCAAGATTTATGTGTGACATTCTGAAAATATTATCAAGGGGTTACCTCTATAAATCAATAGTGTTTTACTCAAACAAGGAAATATTAGAAATACATTTTCAGACATGTATTTGGAGACAGGAAGCCACCTATTTTGAGATTAAAACCATTTTCAGTTTAAAGAGAGGCAAAATAAAATTCAATGTGTTTCAAAAACTAAAATATGGGTCAATGCAATGTGTTCACAATTTAAGTCATTATTATATCACCAAATCCATGATACTGGTTTTAGTTTTCACAATGGGAATTACAGGAGTTTGCTATAGTGGTTATGGTACCAGAAGTGCCATGACATCCTCCCAGAGTAAGAAGTCGAACTGTTTTAGAATGGTTCACATTGCTTTAAATTCTATCCTATTTGGACCATTGTGGTTTTAGAACTAAAGTCGAATGTGAAGAAACAGCAAACTATACTGACTGCAGATTCTAAAAAGAAAAAGAAAACACTGTCAAGATTTGACACCTATAAAAAGCTTTCTATGGCTGGCCATTTGGCTCTTTAGACTAGCCCGTGCTTCAACTTAAAGCTATTTTTTAAAATAGCAGACACGTGCTAAAGGAACCCACAAAAATGTGGAAAGAGTGCTCAACATTCTTCTCATATTCAACACCAGTTGCGGAAACTTAGAGAGGTTAACCATTGTTGAATGACGGAATGACTAAGTACATCATGCATCTCCCCATACTTAGAACATGTTAATAGTTAATTCTTTCTATTTTATATGACGTTATTATATAGGTTATGTTTTCATCTAATTTGTGCAACAATACTACTATATTATTAATTATAAATAAGTGTACTTAACACAGACACACGGAACATTGTTGATGTGTATGTTACATACTGTGTATCTGCTCATGTCTGCATGGACTTTCAATGAGAAAACTAAAATAAATCAATCAATCAATTAATTAATTAATTAATTAATTAAAAACTACAGCGACAATGTGTTGAAATGTGTACACATTCTGCATAGCATTTGTGACTATTAAGGAAATACAAACATTTCTGTGCTGCTATCTATATTATGCCTTATGATATATAGATAATCCACATTAATAAATGTATATAATTACCTAGATTAGTGGGAATTCTTCATACTTTCTCATCATTACTTGATTATGCGTGCATGTAGATTTAAAGGGAGTAAATGTCTAGACATCATAATCCCTTCATCTCATTGATGTGGTTATAGTGCGTGGAGTAGTGTTTGGATTCAATGGGATGTCACCAAGGGATTCAAGCCACAATAACCACTTCTTTTAAAATAAGTAGTTATGGTGTTTAGAGTGTCCCTTTAATGCAGACATTAACTTCATTTAAATAAACATACATGTATATTCAAGTAAAGAGGAAAAAGTGTCACTAATCTATGGCGATTTCTACTTTGCAGGTTAGGTAAAGCCCTGTGGTACTATGACAGTATGCTATGGATTAATCAAAGACTGGACTATTTGTGGACTTCTGCCTAGAACTGATCTATCTATTGTTTGAGAGAGAAAACATATTACCTATTTGACTAGATTAGTTTAAACCAGATATTTTGTCACTGGTATAACAAAGCTACTTCATATTCTCATCAGGCGTCTTGGTGTAAAGAAATTGTGGTTAGGATGCACCTTGCATGCATCAATGTAAAACCAACATCTAATTTCATTTGGCACACATTTTAGGGATCAAAACAATAAACAAATATTGGAAGTACAGATTGTAGGAGGATTGGAAATGTGTAATGCCTTTATAATAAGAGGATCACAATATCCATGCAGACTTGCAGGAGATAAGCATTACTCTGACAAAAATAAACATCTAAATAGACACTGTTTTTAAAAAGAATATTTTGAAACACTCAGACACACACACAGGCACTGAAGGAAGATTCACTCACCTAGAAACAATTTAAGCCATAATATTATCTTACCTACGGCTCCTCTGAAGAGAAGATCGTCATTGCACAGTAAGCCCTTACAGGAGCACATGTATAGACTTTCTCCCACTGATTCCTTCTTTTGCATTTGACATCTCTCGGATATCGAGTTGTCCAACCTGTGGCCATACAGCTCTGCTTTTGGATTATGACACATGACTTCTACTGTACTTTTTTCAGTGGAATTTCTCCTGCAAATAAAGCAATCACATGACATTATTAACTGGTCATATGTGGATAAAAAGATCAATCATGGCCTTATGCTGCTGTCAGACCACAATTTCCACAGTTCTCTGTCACGTGTTGTTTTCCAAAACAGATGGAAGTTGGACACTCCTGCTCAACATAACTCATACAAAGGTTAGTAATAAATTACAAGATGGCTGTCCAGAGGGCCACTTACTGGTGATCTAATGAAAGAGCAAAAGCTGTGTTTCACCCTCGTACATGACATATTTCATACATCCTAAGAATCTCTATTTTGGACCCATATCTCTCTGTCCCTCTTTTCTGTCCTAATGTTCCTCTTTTCTAGGAGCCCCCTAGCGTTGATTTGTCTGAGTGTATAACAGAGCTCCACAGCATTAATATGCACAGTTATATGTTTTTAAACTACAATAAATGTAAAAAAAAAGATACATTGTTCTTGTTCTAAATTACACTTTAGTTGCATAAATTGTTATTAACAACCTAATTTCGATGGTGCTTTACCGTGTCCCAACTGGGCCTAAGTAATTTTTATAATTGACAATAAGGTACAAGCAACATACACTTCCTACTTCCCAATTAGAATGTAAGCAGTACAGCTACGTTATTTTCATTGTTCTTAAATAAGTTTGGTTACTTAAATAAACATACTCCCATATTATACGTCTCAAAATAAGTAAACAACTAAATGCGTAATATACTTACCAGACTGCTACACACACTTCAAATTTTTCACAGAAATTAGAATTGTCACAGTTGCTTCTACACAACCCAGAACCAGCACAGTTGGTAGGCCTTGGTTCACAGATCCTGCAGAATCGTTCAGTAATTTTTTCGGTCAATGACTTTTGGTATTCTGTTAAAAGAGAATGATAAATAACAGGTTTACATCTTGCTAGAAAAAGAAAGAAACATCTGATTTTTGTAGAGAGTATATCTTTATACTTATTACATAGAATCTGTGCAAACCACCATAAATAATGCAATAAGATCTGTATTCTTCCAATTCTAATTTATTTCAATTAAAAGTTTTTTTGAAAGAAAACCTGTTGCAGTCTGACACATTTGTCATTCATTGTATATATTGTACTGTACATTGTATATATTCAGTGTATATTCAGGATATAATGCAAATCTCATCTGTTTCAAAAGTCCTTATTCAGAATTCTGATGAAAAAATGTGGGTTTCTTTACTGCTCTATCCCTCAAGCAGGTAATATAAAAATGCTGTGTGTGACAATGTTAATCCAGTCCTTGTGTGGTGTTTTAAGAATTGTGTGTTTCATTTGCATGTTTATTGCACATCTTTCAGAGAATGACAATCTAATCTTTGACATGTTACCACCAGCTTGCTATATCAGCTCCAATCATTATTTATATTAAAGGGACACTATAGTCACCAGAACAACTACAGCTTATTGCATTTGTTCTGTTGAGAAGAATCATTCCCTTCAGGCTTTTTGCAGTAAACACTGTTCATTACAGCCTATGAATAACTCCACAGCCATCACTCCTCGGATGGCTGCTAGAGGTACTTCCTGGGGCAGTGATGCACACTGTGCAGCACTGCCATTCAGGGTCTCCACCCTCTGCATGCAGACAATGAACTTTCCTCATAGAGATGCATTGATTCAATGCATCTCTATGAGAAGATGCCGATTGGCCAGAGCTGTGTTTGACTTGTGTTGGCTCTACCCCTGATCTGCCTCCTTGACAGTCTCAGTCAATCCTATGGAGAAGCAGGCACATCAGGGGCAGAGGCAGCAGCTGGAGATATGAATACAAGTAAGATTTTACTATATTTAGGGTGGCAAGGGAGGCCAGGGGGGGGTTAAATGGTAGTTTTAACACTATAGGGTCAGGAACACATGTTTATGTTCCTGACCCTATAGCGTTCCTTTAAGTGACAACTTTTTCTGCTGCTTATTTTTGTTACGTGCTACACTTACTGCTTGATATTAGCATTTCACCTGTGTGTTTTATTGCATATTGCTACGTATAGCAAAGATTGTTATTTATTTCTAACATTAGTATTATGTAGGTTGTATATATTGTACTAGGCATTGAATCTTACTAATAATTACACACATATCTAGTATTGTTTATAATGGACATCTAACACCTTTATTACACTGGGGTTGGCATACATATTTAGCTTTCCCATGTAATTTATATGATCTTACCTTTTTGGTGTGTAGGTATAGCGGTAGTGCTGCTCAGAGAAACATGATTCTCTGGAAAAGAAAATGACATAATGTAATGATGATTGAACAAGTTTTAGTTTGCATAATAGTGTACTTTTAATTATAACAAACAAAACAGCAAAGGTACTAGAGAGCAACTAGATTTAAAAATTCTAAACGCTGAACCATTACAATGAACAGGTATGTCTCTACTTACAAACATTAGGAGATATCGAACCAGGAAAGGGTGAGTTTGGAGAGGGTGCATGCCAGAGACACATCACTGATAACATAGGTAGGGAAAAATGAGTGTGCCAGATTGGCAGGAGGTTATGCTAGCCGGGCAACTAGAGATGTACTTACGTAAAGCACAGAATGCTGCTATTGTGTTCTTCTATGGGCAGCTAACTATAAATTGCAACAGCCTCTTCAATGACCATTCACAAAGTATCTCTGGTTAATGATGCACATGTTTTTTTTTTGCCATACTATTGGTAAGTATGGTGAATTATTGACTTGTGCAAGATAAATAGCTCACATGTTGATATAACGTGTGATAAAAATGAAACACGTATGAATTTCAAAGAATCTTACCGTTTTGGAGCGAAGGCACATTTACATTGTTGAACGAAACTGGATTCTCTAAAAAAAAAAAAGATGATGGAATATTAAAAAAATTAAAAACATCAGCTTAAAATAAAATGTTGTGGTATACTTGTCAATATTTTAGAAAGAAACCCAGGCCACCTAAGTCCTGTTCACCTATTAAGGATATCTTTTAACCCACCCCAGAGCCTGACACACTGCTGAGGCACTGTAACAGGACAAAGTAGACCTATCCTGCTACACTGTCTATCACTTCTTCAGGGGCCCCAAGAACCACCAGTTCTTCCAGGCAGGAATTATTCCCTCTGCCCTTTCTGTCTTCCAAGGTATCCACCACTCTTCCTCTGCTTCCTCCAAATAATGACTTTACAAATGCACCTGTGGCTCACAGGTCCTCCTGTTTGCATACAGGTCCCCTGTTCAAGGAAATAGTGCAGCCAGAAAACAGGTCCTAACACTCTGCTACTGGAGTGCCTGAAAGAACCCAACAGGACACACAGTGCCTAATGGAGACACCAGAAATGATCACTATCGTTTTAGGAATATAAAGTTGTATTACTAACACTAGAGTATCCCTCTGCCTCCACGCTCCCCTCTGCCATGAAAGGGTTAAATAACCCTTTAAACACTTATCTGATTCCAGCTCAAAGGTTCTTGTGGGTTGGTTTGGGATTCTGCTCCTCCGATGTCAATTGATGGGGGTGAACTTAATGCACATGTGCAATGAGAGCCGCACATACATGAGGCCTTCACCATAGGAAAGCATTGACTCAATTGCGATTTAGAAGATTCTGGACATTCCTAATACCAATATCCGGCGTCGTTTCATAGAGTTAAACTCTATACAGGAAGCAAGTCTAGTGGCTGAGAGACCGCCACTAGAGGCAGTCATAACCCTGCAATGTAAACATTGCATTTTCACTGAAACTGCAATGTTTTATATAGCAGCGCTAAGGGGACAGAGTCACTGCACCCAGACGACTTCACTGAGATGAAGTGATCTGGGTGCCTATAGTGTAAATTTACACCAAGGATTTTAGTAGAAAACAATTATATAAAACTTAACACACTGCCTGTATTTTCATTGCTATATATATGCAACTATATACAACCATGCAAATTGTCTAGGTTAACATTTTCAGATGTTGAGCATACCAATGGAAAGAGAGGAGAACTACTAAGACAGTGATACTATCAGATAGAGATTCTGTTACAGGTATCATCACATGTGCTCATGATCTGGTTAACGGAACATAGTTAAAGTTGTGGAACTACAATCAAGGGTGTCTGATCATTAAACAGTGACTTGTCGTGAAGTTAGATCAATAGCCGAGTTTAAATATTACCCAAGTCAGCTATGCTTTTAGCTCCAATACTAGCCTTAAATTTGATATTCAATTTGAACACTCACATTAGTAAATAACCCTATCAGTGTTATTCATGTTTGACAAATACTGCATCAATACATATATCATTTTATAATTATCTCACTTTTAGATATACTGCATGGATACATACATTATTTACAGTTATATTACTTTTACAAATACTGCATGGATACATAAATTATTTTATAGTTAACACGCAGAGTTTTGATATTGCATATGCTTAGGGATTTAGTAGTTCCACCAGGGAATATTAAAATAATCTGGGAAAGGACATATTTTTTCGCAGAGCGCCAGAAGCTGCAGTTTGATGATGTACTCAGCTGCTCACAAACCATAAACCCAGGGAAATAAAATGTCAGCACGTTTTTAAATGTATACTAATGAGGTGTATGTTACAGTAGTATCGCTGATGACATTTGAGACTGGGCTCATATTTCCTGTTAGATGTAAGAGAGCATTATAGACACAAGTGACAAGAGTGTCACAGGAACATTCACTGTTGTATTCGATACATCTTTCAAAATACAACTGTAAATATGTGTTACGGTAGGCAAACAGACTGAAAACATGTTTTTTTTTTATATCTTGAAATGTAAACAATATCAAATAGGCATTAATGTCGTTAAACTGTTTTGTTTTATAGGAGTTATCGTTAAAGAAACACTATAGGGTCAGACACACAGACATGTTCCCCTGACACTATAGTGTTAAAACCACCATTTAGGTGGCTTGCCCCACCCCCTTAGACCCATAAGAAGGAGTTATTTCCAGCCCTGCACTGGTGCTGGCCCAGACCCCTGATCTGCCGCCTTGGTGACATCATCACAATAAGGAAAGCATTAAATTGGCTGAAATTGGCAAGGAGGCAGGATGTGGGTGGGGCCAAACATCATTTTGGCCAATCAGCAACTCCTCATAGAGAAGCATTGAATGAATGCATCTCTATGAGGAAAATTCAGCGTGTCCATGCAGAGCGTGGGGATGCTGAACAGCAGTGCTGCCTACTTTGCAACACTGCCTCAGAAAGAACCTCTAGCAGCCATCTGAGGAGTGCCCACTGGAGGTGTCCCTCTGTAAAGGCAGTGTTTACATGAAAATGCCTGAATGGAATATTTATACTCACCAAAACAAATACATTAAGCTGTAGTTGTTCTGGTGACTATAGTGTCCCTTTAAGCACTCTGCATGCTCTTCTGGTTGGGGATATGCTTCAAAAAGTCTCATCGCCTCCCCAAACCCCATTTACTGTGAGCAGTTTTAAGAATTCAATGCTCTTGTGACGCATTGGCAAGCCAATCCCTTCTCTGTCGCTGGCATAATGTTGACATTTTCCTTTCATATTAACCATCGAAAACCGCCTGACCCTCAATGGCAACAATATGCTATGCTCATTGAATAAACACATGGAATTATAGTCATACAACACCATTTATACAGTACCTAGGTTCTTTAACCAATAATTACATTATGATGGGTAGCTAAACATGAATTGGAAGTTAAGCTTTAGGGCAGGTTCTTATTGAATTAGCATTGTCCCAAGCTCTTTTCGAATGTGGTCATTTGCATATTAGGAGAAATATGACATTATATGTACACGATAAAATGTATTTTATAGACTTTAATCTATATGTGAACTCTAAAAATGTATCATTCTATAAAAAGCAAAAACAACTTTCTGGTGGTATACAATGGAAAATATACCACCTGTTACGTTACTTTGATTAGTTTATAGTTAGTAGGTCCCACATAAGACAGCTGCAGCATTGTACAAATGTATGCACAACCAGATCATATATTACCAGGGCAATGTTGCTATTGTAAATTCTGGCTAAATATGTTTAAAAAAATGGTCACCTCCTTAAAGTATACTTTTAAAGAGACAGTCCAAGGGCCATAATTATTACAACTAACTGAATTTGGTGCTGATAAGTTGTTCCTGAAAATGTACCTGTGAAGTGGCACAGCAACCAGAGCTAGGCATGTAAGGGTGCTTTGTGCATGTGTACACCATACAAATACTTGGACATCTCAATTAGGAAGCAGTGCTTCCCCGTATGATGTCAGCAGGAAGTGGGGGGAGTCTAAGCACCACTGATTAACAAGATAGAGATGAAAACAGTATAGTTTTCATAGGTATGTTTAGAAGGACATTTTACTTGCATTATAAGAACTACAGTGAACTTTCGTGATTGCGGTGTCTAGCATCTCTCTTAAAAATAAACTGTAATTAAGAACTAGAATGAAGACATGAAGTGTGAATCTAGGTGTGCAAAAAAGGCTGAAACATGTCAAAACGTAACATTAACAAACAAATCAAAAAGAATTGAAATATTTATTTTAGAAAACAAACATGTTAAAACACACAAACACACAGAGATGTTCACATTTTCAAATCGTTGTATCTTACCTTTCATACTTTCAAAGTAAAGTAAGTCATTGCACTCCTCCCCTTTACAGGAGCACATGTATAGACTTTCTCTCTGTGATTGCTTGTTTTGCATGACACATTTATCTGATACAGAGTCACCCAACTTGTGGTCGTACAGTTCTACTTCTGGATCATGACACATAACTTCCATTGTAATGGTCTTAGTGGTCCTTCTCCTGTAGTCCAAAGAAGAACACAATGTTACCGGATGTATGGGTCAATCTAACAGTGTTATCTCTTTACAACAAGAATGTTTAACATGTCCCCTCCTGTGGAACTATAATTCAAAGTATTGCCTGCCTGATGTTGTATGTAAAAAACAGCTGTTGGTCCACAGTTGGGCAACTTTTTCCTACACGATTTTTCCAGAATCTGTTACTGAATTCCACAATGTTCTTAAACAGCCACGATACTAGTAACCTGATGCAAGTGTATGTCTTTCTCCATCTGCTTTGGGTAGGTATAACTAAAGCCTGTGCTCATGTAGTGAGCAAGTTTATTTAGGACTCCTGTGATTTCTGTGCTAGTTTTGGTTGAGATGTTTTGTATGTGATGTCACTGTATGTAAATGCAAAAAAAAATATGTATGTGTAAGTTTGTGATGATACGACTAATATCGCGCGTGGGTACTTCCACTAACTTGCACAGCTGATCACTATACTAAGTGCTATGACCTGGGCTTGGAGTCCCTTTATCCACCAGCATTCACATTAAAGCAGATCTTGGATAGTTACAGCAAGGAAAGAGACAACCAGCTTCTTTCTTGGTACAAACAGCAACAATCTTTATTTTCAAACAGCAACTGGCAGGAAGGTATCTCAGCATGGGGGGCGGGCTCTGCATCTTGTGCCAAGTGACACATTAAAGTCTCTTTTGTCACATGTAGCGTCTATGTATATTTGTTTAGAGGTCTCTGAATTTGGAAATGTGTTTTTTGGGGGGTGTTCGTGTTAATGTATAGGTGTATTTGTGTGTAGGGTATTAAAAATATATTTTGTGCCACGGTTGGTGTGTGCTAATGCATGTGCCTGTTTGTATTAAAGGTAAATTCTGGGAGAAATGTATGTAGAGTATAAGTGAATGAAGTCTGGGTTTAGTTCCCATTCTCTCTGCTTCAGTGTCTGTCCCAGTTTCTATCACTGCGATATCCATCCTCATCTATCCCCAATTATGTCACTTCCACCCCTTCCACCAATGCCTTTACAATGTTACCCTAATGTCTCTACTCCAACCACTCCCTAGTGTCCTAGCTCCAATTGCCCACTTGTGTCTATGTCTAACTCCTCCAACATAAAACTTTGCCATTTCTCCCTCCCACATAGGTCTTTCACCCATGTCTGACTTGTACATATTCCCATATCTTTCACTTGCATTTCTTTACCCTCCAGGCCTAAGGTTTCACAGCATCTGCTAGGCTTAAGGCCTTACCCTTAGAGTAATGTAACCAAGTGGTAATATTTAAATATTGAATATATAAAATTAAATAAACATACCAGACTGCTACACATACTTCTGTTCCATTACAGATAGATGTTACACTGCAGTCACTTGGACAGATAAAATCACCAGTACAAGTTGTCGGTCTTGGTTCACAAAATTTGCATAACTGGATACGGTCTTGATCACTGCTAAGCATTGGGTATTCTGTAATGAAAAGGAAGATTAAATAACACGTTTAGAATTTGTTAGCAAATGTCTAGACTTTTAAAAAGCAATTGGGATGAAGATGAGGTTGATTAAGTCAAAATTTTGGTAAGGGTGAAAACATTAGCAAATATTCCATAAAATTTTATTTTAAAAATATGAAACTCATGAATTGCTACAGCAACTATCCACGCACGGTATACCGGTGTTTAGATGTGGATACAATGCATAAAGCATTCATAAAATTCAGATTTTACAGTTGATATTCAACATTATTTTGCAGCAAAATTCAGGTTTGAGTCTTGATTTAGGGTTAAAACCCAATAGTTTCCAATAGGTCTTTTTTTTTTTTTTTTTTTAACATTTATTAAAACCAGTGAAATATTCTATGCAATCCAAAATCTGAACAAATGTTTCAAATTCACACACTGCCTAAAGTAGGTGCAAACATGTTCATCACGTAGTATTGTTACACAATGCATTTTTTTTTAAATCAAAATTGTTGTGGCTGCATTTTGCAACTACATGCCACTGACGTATTTCATAAAAGACTTTGTCAATACAATGTGGGCTTTCAAAAGTTCAATAATTTGCTACACTATTACTTTTATTTATACATGTATGATATCTATTTATATATGTATTTTCAGTGTTGATAGCTGATTCAGAGCAATAGGAAGCATGTAGTAAGCCGTATTTTTATATTTACAGGTATAACCTACTCTTACGTTTTGTCTTTGCATTTATTTGCAATCAATTCCGTGAAATACACCCCATTTAGGAAAGAGATTTGGTACAGCTGCATTCAATTTCTCTTGGCCCAAATTTAAATGCAGTATTAAATTTCAACACTATTCTACTTGAACTATATTCTGCATTTCGTAACCCACCCACACAAAGATGTTTGTGGTAATTTCGTAAATTTGCGCAGTTTCGTTCAGTTAACATTTAATTTATGATGAGATTGAAATGAGGTTGTATTCATAATTATTACAGAAAAACGCCCTAGTATTTTACTCTGCCTATATTCCCCCTAAATAATCAGCAAATATGTTTTCCTGTTGCCAAGCACAACAAATCTTCAGGATCCCAGGATGTTAAAAATGCACGCCTTTGGCAATAATTCACACACATATCTGCAATTTTTTTCTCTATTGCATGACTCACAGCTAGCCTCTACCTTGTGTAGGAGGAAAACAAGAAACATTTCACACCAAAAAGGACAACAATTTTAACCCATGAAATACCACAGCTCATGGGTAAAAGGAAATTGTAGCCAAAATGGTAGCACTCAAAGGATTTAAAAACTCCTGGTTGCACACCTTAACACAATGCTTCACTTATTAAGGTCTTTTAATAAGCAGTCCAGCTTTGATACAGTGTGAATACTCCAAGCAACATGGCAACTTCAGTGATTTGAAGTGATAATAGTGCCTAGATTCTGTATGTACAGTGTTTCACTCTGAGACGCTGCACATACAGAGTTTAACCTCAGAGCTCCACTTTGGGCGCTGTCATTGGGGAGCCATCAGCCCACAAGAGTTCCGGGCTGGTAATATCAATTATGTGCACGTTTCTATACACACAATTGCATTCATTGGTTGAGAGCAGTCACCTAACATTCTCAGCTAATGAAAGGAGACAGACTCATCATCCACCTTGTGCAAAGCTGCAGAAGCTGAATGAGCATCATTAGAATAGAAAGACCCAGGTAATGGTGGGGACCCAGATAAGAGGACAAACCATTACAAAATGGCTTGCCCAATTACTGGGAAATGGAGCCCGGGTACAATTCACATTTTTAACATTACAGCGGGCTTTAGTGAATTGCGTAGCCCTAAGGAGAAGTCTAAGCACCATAACCACCAAGTGCTAATGTAATGGAACCACTTAAACATGATTTGATAGAAATCAGGATCCTTAAGGTACCCATGATCGTGCACCCTGATTAGCTGTTGCTAATATCTTAGTTTCATTTCTGCATTAGCAATAAAAAAAAAAACATATTTGGATGGCATTGATTGGCACAAAGACAGTATGGTTGGGAACTGAGGATGGGCGAATCTGGGTACCCTTAAAGCATTATGGATTATTAGTTGTGTCCACGCCCATTATTTACTTACCTACACTTTAATAATTTTGTTGGGGTGAAGGAAAGGGGATATCTCTATCAGAACATTTCAGTTCCCCTCAGGGGCATTAATTGGAGTGATAACCAAGGCTAGAACCCAAATTTTAACAATGTTAAAAATGTGCTTGACAAAGACCTCATTGCAGGTCCAAACATTGTTGTTCCTGCTCTGCTGTTCCACACTGCAACAAGATTTAAAGGACCACTATAGTGCCAGGAAAACATACTCGTTTTCCTGGCACTATAGTGCCCTGAGGGTGCCCCCACCCTCAGGGACTCCCTCCTGTCCGGCTCTGGAAGGGGGAAAGTGGTAAAAACGTACCGTTTTCCAGCGCTGGGCGGGGAGCTCTCCTCCTCCGATCCTCCTCCGTTCCGCCCCGTCGGCTGAATGCGCACGCGCGGCAAGAGCCTTAAGTGAAACTCTAGAGCAGATATCACAAGTACCAGGTGAATGGAACTCAATATGCCCTAACCTGAGACAGGAGGTCCTGTGTGTGTCATGCAAACACACTTTTGACGACCTTCACCATACCCTACAATAGCATGTACCAATGCCATGCCAACAACTGTCGTAATTACTAGTCCGGTATTTGCATAATTTAACTCTATCTGATTATGATAATATGTACAGTGTACAATGTCTATCTGCTTATGGTAATATGTACACATAATGCAACTACCCTGTTATATGACACTACTAACAATATCTTCGTTCTGTATTACCCTTGTCTCCCCATTTTTTTCTGTACTGGACTGTTTTAACGATGTGTTTACACCATCTACAAGCAACATATGTAATATATGGGAAAATTAAAATAAAGAATGTTAAAAAAAAGAACACTCTAATTAGACATGTGCATGGTGGAAAAATTCCAACTGCAAAACAACATAAAATTTATCGGTAATCCAGCATTGGGACCGACTCCACTCCAGCAAATGTTGCAGCCATTTTTCCCATGATAATATCATCATGCTTGATGATCTCTGGTCCAATCAAATCGCACTGCAGAACTATGCTGCATATGCAGCAATCACCACTCTATGCCAGTCCAGTGCTTATCATAGAGAAGGCTTGAATCTGCGTTGGGCATTATCATCATATGGATCATGTGTAAATCAGTGATACTAGTGATACTAGAGGCTGACTGCCATTAGAGGTAAATGTTCAGCAAAACAACATTATACTGCCAGAGCAAAGAGAGAGAATCCATTCACCAAAGCCTCTATATCAAGGTGTAATGGTCTTGTTGCTTAGATTCTCCCTTTAAAAACTACCACCTCACATTCTCTGTCTGTCTGTTAGTGGAATCTCCGAGTCAGTGGTCTCACTTGGATATCCTACCAATTTCTGATCCTACTATATACTAATTGTAACAGAACTATACTTTCTGCCTGGACATATTTTACAATTACTACACCTAATAATACAAGGGATTATACTTACCTGGTTATGTGACTTATTATAGCCCAGTTCAGGACTTATGTTGCCAGCATTCGTCTATTTGTGCAATCCATGCGGTAGAAATCCAGCAGGCACAAAGACGAATACAAACTGCTGAACACCGGACCACCCTGCTGTTCAATTAAGTGGTATTTTACCTCCCAGACCGGCATATACCGTTCGCATGATAAATGCACAAATCCTTTGTGTTAGATCTTAGGTGGCCGCCATTTCGGGACTTTGCATGTGTTCGCGGCCATCTTAACGCACGAACAGCGGTGATTTGCCGTCGAGTGTTTGGAACTAAAATCGGACACTCGAGTAGGCGAACACCGCTGAGACCTCCATAACACCGGAAATTCGTGCCAAAACTACCGAACACCCGAGTTACGCACGGATGGCAATCCTTTTTGTGACTTTTAATACACGAACAAAGACTGACCGCAAGGCCAAAACTCATGGAACTATTTTCAGCTACTTTGCCTGTGCTGTCGGTCAAAACTTTAAAGTCCCATATCTCCCGAACGGCTGAACCGAATGGGCTGAATTTTAACTATGTTGGTCCCGCAGAATAGAGCTATCTGGGGGACATCTGAACTTTGGGGAAAAATATGTTCGTTTTAATTATGTTAGTATCTTATCTGAGGGGAGGAGATGTGTGGGATGTACCTTATGTTACTGCCCCTCCTTTTGATGTGTGGGATGTACCTTATGTTTATTGGTTGTTCTGTTAATTATGTAGGTGTCGCCTTTGCATGGGCAGAATCACATAAAAAGAGAGTGCCTGTCATTAAAAGCCAGTTCTGCTTTACCCTTCAAAACGTAGCCTCGTCTCGTTCTCGGAAGGGGATTTACTGCACAATTATCCTGCTCCATTTTACAGCTATGCCTGGCTTTACTCTTGGATCTCGTGGATGGGAATAAGAAACTCCATTACTACACAGCAGCTTGCCAGGAAAAGGACATCGCCAACGGCTGATACCCCCTTACTATCTGGGTAGCCGTTACACTAACTTTCTGGAAGAATGTGCATCTAAAAATCCTTCTACTCGGATGTTGTTCCAGCTCAGATGTTTTAGTCTACAGTGTGCAAGTCTCTTGTCGAGTTCATCAATTCTCAGTTCAGTGAATAATCCAGACATACATTTTTCAGTTAACCATTTTTCCTGGAATTTGTGGCTTTATTTCTGAAATGTTTGGTGAATTGCCAAATGAATTACGATCCCCGAATTGGCAATTTCCCTCAAGACAGCTGATTTTGGCAAAAAACAATTCAACTCTTTCTATCTGCCTGTATGAAAGTACTAAAAAAATGTGTTCCTCTTACATATGTGTTCTTCACATCTTGGCACCAGGCCTGGCATAAGAGTTATTACGAAGGAAAGGAGGTGTGTACAGATCCAACTGTTTAGTCTGACTAGTATAAACATTAAGCAGTCTGCACAGTCTTTCCTTTTGAAGCACAGAATGAATTTTCTCTGTTCCACTTTTTAATTAAACAATTTAATGGAAATATTGTATATCAGACAGTGTATAAATTACTGCTAAAGCACATGCAGGTTACCATGAAATAGAGTCTTAATGATGTATGCTATAAAGGAGAACATGCATAGGCTTTTCTGGTGATGTTTCATATTTAAAGGGCTTTGTAGAACATACAAAGAAATATCTACATTGTGCAAGCCAAACTGATAGCAATAGTATAGATACATATTTAATTTGAGGTTTGTGGTTTTAACCTCTATCATTATAAATATATAAAATATTTATAGATAATATATTATTGTTTTTAAGATTTTTTTGTATCCATATTTACATGCCAGGCATATCTGTGTACTTGGCAATAAAGGGACACTATAGTCTCCAAAACAACTTTAGCTTAATGAAACAGATTTGGTGTGTAGATCGTGCCTAAGCAGTCTCACTACTCAATTCCCTGCCACTTTGGATTTAAAAGTTAAATGCAGCACTAGCCACACCTGCCTGCATGTGACTTTCACAGCTATCCTAAACAGTTCCTGTAAAGAGTCATCTAAAGTTTGCACTTCCTATAATGCAAATTCTGTTTAATTCAGAATTTCTTATCTCCTGCTCTGGTTAGACTCAGGAGATAAAAAAGGTTTGAAGTAAGTTACATCTGATTGAAAATGAAACCATTTTCTTTTCATGCAGGCTGTGTCAGTCACAGCCAGGGGAGGGTGGCTAGGGCTGCATAAACAGAAACAAAAGTGATTTAACTCCTAAATGGCAGTGAATTAGGCAGCGAAACTTCAGAGGCATGATCTATACACAAAAACTACGTCATTAAGCTAAAGTTGTTTTGGTGACTATAGTGTCCCTTTAAGTATCTATGAATTTGTGTGTGTGGCAGTGTGTATCTGTGTAAGCATGCATATCAAGCATTGACTGCATATGGTGTTGTGTATGTGTGTATCTGTATGTGTCTGGCAGTCTGTATCTGAGTGTGTTTGTGCTTATCTGGAAGTGTAATAAAATATGGGGCTTTTATAGGTAGAAGACTTTTCTTACGCATAGATAGAGAACCCATTTGTTTTATATGCACTTTGTCATAATTATTGTACTAGTCTTTTTGAGGAAAGTAATTTTGGAAATGTTAACATAAAACATGTTCTTTTGGAATAATAGTACATTATTTTTAAGATTCTGTGCAGTAGTTTATAATGTAATTCTATTTGTATGGTTTCTGTGTGGAATTAAAAGAGATTATATGTAGTTTCTTTTAAACCATTCATTTTCTAGTCTACACAGACTGACATTAGTGGTGAAGGTAATATTAGAGATGCAAGACGTTACAACCCTTTGTACAGAAACTGTTGGAATATTTGGTTTAGTTACGTCTCGCGTTGCCTATGCAAAACATACAAAAATATGATTTAGTAATGTGGCAATACATGCCTCTATGAACAGTATGCTATGGAACGTTAACTGTAAGATAAATGCTTTTGTTCTGCATCTGTAAATATGTATGCGGTGAAAGATATGCCGTATATTTTGTGTGTCATGCATGCATTGGTATTCATTAAACTGGAATTGCAGAGAATTGAAAAGGAAATTAAAGAGACACTATAGGCACCCAGACCACCTCAGCTCTTTGAAGTGGTCTGGATGTACTGTCCTTTTCCTACTTAGTCCTGCAATGGAAATTATTGCAGTTCTAGAGAAACTGCAATAATTGCCATGCAGGAATAACACTGCCTCTAGTGTCTTTCAATAAGGCTTTTGGTCACCTAACGGACTCTGGACATCCTCATGCTGTGCATGAGGACAACCAGCGTCAGCTAATTCCCCATAGGAATGCAATGAAGCAATGCTCTCCTAAGAGGAGGGCCTAATGCGCTTGCAGCTATTGCCATGTGCATTAGTGCCCCCTCTGTCGGGTAACGTTGGAAGAGGTGATGCACTGACCAAGTGCTGAGGGAGATCGGTGCTGGAATCGTGTGAGTACAGAAAGTGCTTATTAACCCTTTCAATGCTGGGGAGGGAGGCGAGCAGAGGGAGCTATAGTGTAAGGAATACAACTTTGTATGCCTTACACAATACAATCCCTTTAAAATTTTAAGCCAAAAAAGAAAATGTTAGGTATGTACACCCCAAAATGCAGAAACTAAGTCTGCCAAACTAGGGTTTCCTTCCTCACTTACTTTAAATGAGCACTTTTTATTGAGAAGCACTGAATTCCATGCTTCTCTATAAGAATTATTGTATTGGTGGAGGGCCGCAATTGTAAACCATGCGCCATAACTTCCTAGTTATGATTCTCTGTTGGATACATTGTGTTAGAAGTGAGATCAGCACTAAACATAACAGAGTTCAATGATAATCATATCTTTAGACTGTAGGCTTGTTTGAGCAGGTATTTTCGTTAAGGCAAATGTTTGTTGATGAATACAGAGCTGCAGAAATTGTTAGCACATTTTTTTAAATAATAATAATAATAACATGGAAACTAGGTAGAAAATGTCCAGCACATGACTAGTTCACAAGTCTTATAACTAGCTCTTCTAAATTATGAACATCCTGTGACTATTTTTTCCCTACAACTAAGTTCCTCATTGAAATTCCCATTACTTGAATTTAATCTTCAACTAAATTTTCTTAACCTGAACACTAATATTTTTAATTCTCAATGTGCCCTCCTAACTACTATGCTTATATTTAATCTTCTAAACAAGAGCTCCATTTATTTTTATAAGCTAGAAGCTCCTTGTTCCATCACTGCAGTGAGGACTATTTCAGTATTTATCGCGAGGGAATAACGCGATGGAGGAAAGTTTAAAAATAAAGACTACTAGTTTTATCATTTTGTTATAATTGCTATTTAAACTAATATCTTTTTAAAATATGTGTTCCCTCCAAACCTCAGAGGCAAATGTTTACAAAACTAAATAATTTAGTGGCAAAGGACTAAATAAAGCAACTGTCCAAAAAAAACACCAGAACACCAGGTCACCCTGCTATAAGTACCAAAGTGTTGGTGTTCTGCCGACAACACACTCTCCCAGTTACTTCAATTTCTTCCTATTTAATATAGCTCTAACTAAACTGAATTCTGTATGCTTTCACTCTGCCTGTTCCTGCCATTCATATGAATTCAATTATAAAACTTATTAAGATTATATTGGATCTTTAAATTGTGTTGCCATAGACTGGGTATGTTTTACTAAAGACCGTGCTTAAATTCAAATATTTGGGGATTTATTCACTAAACACCAAACTGTGGAGTACTGAAAACAGAATTGCAAAATTAGGGGACAAATAACTGGTTTCATAAAAAATCTGTCTTTATACCAGTGGATTTGTTATTGCCCAAGTGCGCTTCATTCATAGTTCAAAACTTAGCGAATAAGCCTATGAGTTCACAAAATCTCTGTTAAAAGAGCTAAAGGATAGTTACACTAGGTTTCTTTGAAATGTGTTTCTTTTCAGCTCCGTTTGCCTCAAAATGATTTCTTTCCACACATCTGGTCTTGAGCTCTACAATATTTATGTAAATAGATTAGGGAATTTTAGCCTACGAGAGTATGAAATTATGCTTCAAAAACTCTTTAATTTCCTGCAAAAGGAATGGTGTAATCAGTGTAGTACACAATATTAATTGGAAGAGATTATGGAATTTTAAATATGTATCTCTCACAAATCTATATGAAAATATATATGAAGCCTGGTCTTTAGGCTTGGTGAGAGACCCCTTTTTTAAAAACTGTTTAAAATAACTTGATGCAAATTGGGGAGAAGACTGTTTCTGCAGTGCACCATAACCACAACATAAGCTGTAGTGTTTGTGATACTTAGAGTGAACTTGTAAAAAAAATAAAATTTCTTCAGGGGCACAGAGCATATTTATGAAAAAAAAAAAAAAAGATTTATAATACCCAAACTACCCAAAATACATAAAATTGCCACTCACAAAGAACAGCGCCTAAATACAGACTGAGGATTTAATATAACATAACATCGCTTTATTAGGGGAACAGTAAATGATTCTATTGGCAAACCTTTTTCCAAGATTAAAGAGGCGGATAATGAGATATCAATTAAAATTAAATAAATAAGGTAGTGGATAATTCTGAAAGTGATGGTGGATGGAGAATAAACAGTCAACCCCCATCAGCCAAAATATAGAAATATACGTATTTAAGGATTCACAGTAAAAACACAAGCTGCTAGTATGTCCAATATTCCTGATTTGTGTTTCTTCCTCCCAGAAGCCCAAACACATTTCGCACAGTGCTTATGCTGTACTTCTCCAAAAGGCAGTTTCCAGAGATTTAAAAAAAAAAAAAAGAATGTTAATGTTACTCTGTTACTCTGATCGGAGTACCTTCTAGGCTATTAGAGAAGCAAAGGATATTTTTTTCCAGGCATAAACAGACACACGGATAGACTAAATCCTTTAATTAAAGACAGATCTTCAATCAGTTAACACATTTTTGCCAAAAATCATTCATGGCAAGGATTAACATTTTTCCAGTCATCGTCAAGCAGAGCGTATACCTCCTATTGCTTGGTAGACACACACACACACACACACACATCAGTTATTAATCTATGACATCAACAAAGAGCACTTGCAAATATGACCAGATGTTCCCTTTATGGGAATTATGGGACCCTGCTATAGAAAATATATAAACGGATGCTGCATTTAATTCATTGTTGCTTGTATTACTTGTGGCTTTATAAGAATCCCTGCTTACAGGAAAAGTCTGGTTACACTATTGGCTGGATTTGTCAAGTGAAAATAAGTGATATTCTGGGCCAAGCTGCTAAATGTTGGCAAACATTAGTTTTTATGGGGATTGTTCTCTGTTTAGCATTTTCCAAATAAATAGCATATATTTTACTTGATAATTTACAACTTTTAAAGGGTTACTCCAAACACAATGACGACATCAGTGATTTGAAGTGGTTATGGTGCCTGGAGTCTGCATGTCCATCATTATTTTAACCCCTCTGCAGCATCGGGGGCGTCATTAGCCAGCCTGGAACATTATCCATTCCGTACATGTTTGACATCTATAGTTAGCACGTACAGCATGCTGGCGACATGCATCCAATGGCAGCATGCTCTCAAGAACATTTCCTCAACAAAATTAAATATATTAATATGGTGGAGATGACTAACACACAATGTTTCTTTGGAATTAAATCTGTTTCTTCTCGTCTGACCATATGTACATATTCTTGACTCTTCTCTGTCTATCCCCAAATATTTTGTTCTACATATCTATCTATCTAGCTATTTTGTTTTTATTATTATTTTTTTTTCCAGTTTCTAATAACTTTGTTTAAAAACTCTTGCCTGTGGAAGAATACACCAAATAGCATGTAGTGTTAAAATATTGAAAAAAAATATAGGTTTCTGAAATTGACACAATCTTAGCAATGTGATATATTAGTACAATTGTACAATAATGTCCTTTATTGTTGCCTATGTAAAATGTAATCAATGTCAGCAGTAACTCTTTGTTTATGTCTATGTTCTCTTTTGCAGTGTCTGTAATGAATATGTGATATTCTCAACTAGTATACAGGCTAGACAGACAGATAACTGTGAAAGGGAAAAGGCAACACCTATTGAAATGCCACATTTACCCCTTTATCAAGACTTTAGTGTGTATATATATATATACTGATCAGCCACAACATTAAAACCACTTGCCTAAGATCCTCTTGTGCTGCCCAAGCAACTCTAATGCATCAATGCATGGACTCCACAAAACCTCTTAATGTGTCCTGTGGTATCTGGCACAAAGACATTAGCAGCAGATCCCTAAAGTCCTGCAAGTTGCGAAGTGTAACCTCTATGGATCGGATTTGTTGTTCCAGCACATCCCACCAATGCTCAATCAGATTGAGATCTGGAGACTCTGGAGGCCAAAACAACATATTGAACTATTTGTCATGTTTCTCAAACCATACCTGAGCATTTTTTCAGTGTGGCAGGGTGCACTATTCTGCAGAAAGAGGCCACTGCCACCAGGGAACACTATTGCCCAGAAGCGGTGCACCTTGTCTGCAACTATCTCTAGGTAGGTAGTATGGGTCTAGGAACCATCCAAATGAATGCCAACCTGTCTCCTTCTCATAGTGCATTGTGCTGTCATCGCTTCCCCATAATGTGCACACACCAGGCCATCCACCTGATCTAATAGAAAACGTGATTCGTCAGACCAGGCAACGTTCTTTCATCGCTCAATGGTCCAGTGCTGATGCTCACATCTCCATAAAAAGGTGCTTTCGGTGATGGACAGGGATATCATGGGCATTCTGATCGTAGCCCCATACACAGTAAACTGCATGCACTTTGTGTTCTGACGCATTTTTATCATGACCAGCATTAGGTTTTTGGCTAGATTTCACTTCCTATGTTCATCTTTGGACACTCATGACCCTGACATCGGTTTACTAGTTGTCCTTACTTGCAACATTTTGTAGGTACTAACCACTGCATATTGGGAACACCCCACAAGACTTGATGTTTTGGAGATGCTCTGACCCAGTCATCTAGCTATCAATCACTACATTAATATTTGGCCTTTGTCAAAGTTACACAGATCTTTTCGCCTGCCCATTTTCCCTGCTTCCAATACATGAAATTCAATAACTGACTGTTCACTTGCGTCCTAATATATCCCACTCCTTGACAGGTGCCATTTAAACAATATCACCAATGTTATTCAGTTCACCTGACAATGATTTAAATGTTGTGGTTAATCAGTGTACATATATATACTAAAGCCTTGATAAAGTTAAATGTTGCATTTCAAGTAGTGCTGCCATTAAAAAGAATCATCTTTAATTTAGTATATACAGGGTGGGCAAAAGGTTTGAGGAGTTACTATTATTATTAAACCAATTTTAATGATGTTACATACAATGATGCTTAATGTATGGAGATTTGTTTGATTGGGTACAGAAGACTTACATCTTTCAAATGAGTTCCATTTACCCCCACGCAAAGTTTGTCTTTTTCAATTGTATTTGTTAATGAGGTTCTAGCACTTTCTGCACGGATATTGTCCTTGAGCTGCTCGAGTGTACTCAGTTTGTTCATGTACACTCGCACCTTCAGATATTCCCACAGAAAGTAATTAGATGCTAAAAGGTCTGGCAAACATGGTGTCCAAAAAAACTGTGAATTTCTTGAAATGATCCACTTGCCAAACAGTTGTTTTAGAAGGCCCGTTGTGGCCCTGGCTGAATGGGCAGTAACCCATATCCTCAGTTTTCTTTTTGTATCAGAATAATGGTCCTGCCATTTTGAAAATAAAATTCCACTATTTTTACTCATTGTTCCTTCATGAAATTAGGAATGATGAATTTCCCCAAGTCTAGGTCCTAATAAGTACCTGTAACAAAAAAAATGGAACTACTGACATAACTTATTTACCTGTCAATCCTATGCTGAAATGTGGCCCACCATATCTTTATTTATATTAACAAACATATATACACAACTAAAGAATATATATATATATATATGTATATATATATATATACTTCTTTACCTCTACCAGTCAAAGCACAAGTTATTTTTATTGGGCTCTCGCTTCACTAGCAAGGTATAAACGGCATCACATAACTGCTAATATAAAGAGCTTTTAAGCGGTACTAAACAGACTGTTTCTTTACAAATAAACACTATTTTATTTCACACATTAAGGCAATTTTACATGCCACTTAAACATACCATACCATAAAAAGGACCACATTAACAACTCTGGAATTTCAAATGTATTATTTTACATATCAGTAAAACAAGCAGCAACAGAAAATTTTACAATTTATTTGAGCTCACAAGATTTGGTTTATTCCAAGTGAATAAAATATCCCTTGGATATTTGGATATAACAAATTTTTAGCACAGCCTAATAACTAACTAAATACAGATTAAAAAAAAAAAAAACAGTTTTAAATCTTACAAGCTTACTTAAATAATGGGTTAAAAACTCTTTATTAACTTATCTTTTCCCAGCGCCAATGTCTCTCAGCACTGGGTTGACGCTCCACCCCCTCCTCCGTCCTGCGACAAGCAGTATCTAATCCGAATGCACGGAAAATTTGACCACCCCATAGAAAAGCACTGAATACAATGCTTTCATATGAGGAAAAATCTGATGCTGCAGGTCCTCATGCAGGGTGTGAGGATGTCCAGCATCAGATACCGAACCAAATGTCCGTTTCAATTCAAGAAGACTTGAGGACCTCCACTGAGGGCAGACTTAGAGCTGCAATGTAAATATTGCAATTTCTATGGAACTTCAATGTTCTACATTGCAGCACTAAGTGCAAAAGGGACAGTGCACCCAGACCACTTCAATGAGCTGCAGTGGTCTGGGTGCCTACAGTGTCCCTTTTAGCCCATCACTTCATCGCAGTACCTCAATATTGGTGGGTCCTACAATAATTGTGACATGAAAGATAAACATGCTAACTGAAACAAAAGAGTAATGCAACTGTAAGGAAACAAGGTAGTCATCACGCCTCACCTTGGGGTGGTCGCCTCAGCTGTTTTCTAAAAAAAGGAGGGTAACCCAAAAAAAGCTTGATTACTAGTAGAGCAAAAAAAAAAAAAAAGATAAACATCCCAAACCTTAGAGAGAACAACTGGGCAAGAGCACAATGAATTATAAGAATAAATATAAATGAAAAAAAGAAAGACCCTATTTTTATTAGGAGCGGAGTAAAAATCCCGAAATCATACAAATGTAAACTCATTGCACAGTGATTTGAAAAGCTCGTCTGAGGGAGGAAAGAAGGGGGGAGAGAAAGGTAAATAATCTCTACACAATCTGCACACCTCAATAGAGAAAGCAATTACACCTTTATCATAGAATAAAGAGAATAAACCACTCTTATCATAATATCAAGGTGCCAGTCTCAAACTAATTCATAGTGAGGAAAAATGGAGCGAGTGTATGTAGGACCAATCAAGGAATAGTCTCAAAGGGCTATGGGTTCTAAGATCAAAGCTAAGCAAACACACTAACTGTTCTTCTCCTCAAAACCTAATATTAAACTAATCAGAAAGCATGGAAGCGTGGCTTCAAGCTAGGCCTACAAGCCCTCTAAGAACGAGAGCCGGGAATCCTACTTTCAGACTCTCAAACCATAATATACCGTGACGTCACATGCACAGTGCCGTCACAGTGGGACATAGAGAATCTATGAGGAGCAACCTGAAGAGGGAGACTCGGAACTGTAGAAAATGTGAGTATTTTTTGTTGTTTGTTTTTTCATTTTTTTTAATTTTTTTTACAGGTGGGGGGAATGATAAGGGGCACCAGGACAATAGTGTTAGGATACAGGTATGTTTTCCTAATTCGGCTGTGTTCCTTTAAACTACTTCCAGAGACTCTTCTCAAGCTTGTGATTTCATGTGGTCACCTTCAAAGGAGCCCTGGGATGAGATGATTAATCCAAAAGTAATCTTGACTGGATTTCAAAAGGGAACTGTTTGTTCCAAGTAAATAAAACATGCCTTGGGTCCTAGAAAAACGATTGTAACTCAATTTTAGCACAATCTAATAAGTAGCTAAAAGTTATCTATGTTGTGTTAAAAAATAAAAAAAAACAATCAGAGTGTTCGGAGTCATTTTACACAGCGTTTTGGTCTTCCAGCCTTTTAGTAGATAGCTGCCTAATACCGTGGGAATTAGGGAGCTATTTACTAAGCGGCTTCAAGATGCAGCCGCAGCACGAATAGAAAAACTATTGTAACTCAATTTTAGCACAATCTAATAAGTAGCTAAAAGTTATCTATGTTGTGTTAAAAAATTAAAAAAAACAATCAGAGTGTTCGGAGTCATTTTACACAGCGTTTTGGTCTTCCAGCCTTTTAGTAGATAGCTGCCTAATACCGTGGGAATTAGGGAGCTATTTACTAAGCGGCTTCAAGATGCAGCCGTAGCACGAATAGAATCAGAGTTTCATTCATTAGAACGAATTTACGATACGAACAGAAACTAACTAATGCCATTCTAACACGAATGAACAAACTGTTCATTCTGTTAGGACGGAATTTGGTAGTTTCGCCGGCGTCCTATCTATATGACAGGGCGCTGGGAAATAGTGAAAGCATCACAAGATCAGGTGAGAATTGTGGGGAAATTCCTTTGACCGCACGAAGTGGGTCAAAGCTGGTCAAGCGTAGGAAACCTCCATAAAACAAAGTAGTCCCTATTTTGTCTTATGTTTTAAAGAAAACTAGAGCAGACAGGAAGAAAATAAGAACAGATCCTGAGAGAAGGAGAGAAGAGGAAACGATTGGGGAAAGATAGGTTTGGCATGACAGTGCCGCTTTAACCCATTAAGGACCAAACTTCTGGAATAAAAGGGAATCATGACATGTCACACATGTAATGTGTCCTTAAGGGGTTAAGCTTTAGTAAATATAAGAATTGCTATAGCAGTCAGAATTCTGACATTTTCTTTAGTGGATAACCTTTTTAGATTTGTTTTGCTGACAATGATTCAATGATATATAATAATAATGGTGTGTGTGTGTGTGTACGTGTGTGTGTAATAAGTGACTGTTTAATAAAACTGGGAAACATTTACAAAATCATTAAAAACTTTTGGTAAAATTCCTTTGTAAAATCTTCACAGCTAGGATACCATTTAACACATTGAATCGTAATTTTATCATAATTCTAACACATAACATTTAAAAAAAAAAAAGAAAACCCATTTTATTCAAAAATGTTTTCTTTGAAGTGTGTGTACTATGTACAATTCCCACATAAACTTAAACAAAGGCTAATTATACTGCACTACTGACTCTAATCTTAAAAAGTTGGTAAGTAACTGTGAATTATAAACACAACACTAAACACGTTCATGACAGTCTGTCATATTATATCTAAGTCCGACAAAGGCAAGCTTGAGCTTACTTTATCTGTAACGGACAAAAAGCACAGAAGATGATAACTGCTTATTTTTTTCACTAGGAGAATAGAAATAATACTAACTGCTAACAATATTTTTGCATTTAAAGATGTTTCTCAAAGCAGCTCTGTCACTGTCTGGGGCCTTTGCACATACTGACTGTTTCGCTTGCAGTACATTGGTCTATGCGTGCAGTGGAAGAGCTGTCCTTCATGATCCCCACCAGGAAGAGCTGTCCCTCATGGTCCCCACCATGTTCACCCGATGGGAGCTCTTCAGCTCCTGGGGCTTCATCTGCCTGGTGGCCACAATAGTGTTGCATTCTTGATCATGCACAATGAGGTCTATAGAGAATCCCACAAGATAACGAAAGCCTCGACAGACAAGGAATTTAACTCGACTGCCATCACCAGTGACAGCTTGGGGAATTGACTAAAATTAATAGCTGTATTTATTTATTTTATTATTTGCATTTATATATAGCGCCGACATATTCCGTAGTGCTTTCCAATTTTATAAGAGATAGCTCCGCCTTTTGTGAAGGTAGGGAATATACATATATCTATGAATACAAATGCAGAATGATATGTCCTGCGCTCACTCCCATCACTGGGCGGCAGCAATGACTACAGTACACATCAGCCCCAATATATAGTAAAAACCAAAGAAAAACAAGTTACCCGCGCTCTCTCCTTAATCCCTATGTATTTTTAAACAAATGGACGTTTTTCAGTTACCTCCAATGGCCATGGGAGGATGAGCCCACCTGCCAACGTCAAGGCAGACCCCCCTAGGTGGGTCCTAGCTCTAACCATTCACCTTGCTTCCTTGAGCCTCTGGCAAAAATCTCTAATGAGACAGAAAGGGGTATTTTTTATATACACCCCTATATATTATTAACCCTTAATAGGGAACACATGGGATGGGCGGCTGCATTGTAACAAGGCTGTGTGATACAAAAAGTGGATACAAATGCAGAAAGATAAGTCTTGCGCTCACTCCCATCACTGGGCGGCAGCAATGACTACAGTACACATCAGCCCCAATATATAGTAAAAACCAAAGAAAAACAAGTTACCTGTGCTCTCTCCTTAATTCCTATGTATTTTTAAACAAATGGAGGTTTTTTAGTTACACAAAAACTAAAAAAGTAACTAAAAAACCTCCATTTGTTTAAAAATCCATAGGGATTAAGGAGAGAGCGCAGGCAACTTGTTTTTCTTTGGTTTTTACTGTATATCTTTGAATGCTTTGGATTTTATCTTTATGAAATATTCATTTTTAAATATTAAAATTCCACACTGATTTTATTTAAAGTGGCACTGTCAAATCTATATCCACTACAGCTTATTGTACTGGTTGTGATGCAAGGAAACTACATGTGCAGTCCCTCCGTCTCTACTAAATAGTAATTTAGCTGACTTGACAAAAACAGGCCTATACTAGCATTAAAATCTGTCCTCTGTCTATCTCTACTTCCTAACATTTCAAATGGGCAAAGAGAGACAATAAATTTAGGGGTGTGGCCTAGGCTATTCTGAGAAATGTTTGGTGACATAATTTTTTAAACTAAAATGTGACTTAACAAGAAAATTGTACTTTATTTACACTGAGTTCTAATCACACGTATTGTAGTTTGAAGACACATTATTAGTGTGGAGCTCTGTTATACACTCAGACACATGAACAATATGGAGCTCCTAGAAAAGAGGGAAATTAGGAGAGAAAAGAGGGACAGAGGGATTTGGGTCTAAAATTGACTGTCCCTCCTAAAGGGTGAAAGTTGGAAGGTATGATTATCCATCCAAATTTGGACGGTGTTGGTAGGCTGTAATCTCTGGACTAAGCTATCTTCAATGAATGTCTTACATTTCCAAACTACAATTTCTTTGTACTGTATTATTAATAATATCAATCATGAATATTTTTTTGAGGGGGGGAGGGGGTTTACCAAGGATTAATTGGAGCTGAAAATATTTACTAAAACCAAATTGTAGTAAATCTAGAACATAACAATATTTACGCTAAGACAGCCAAGTTGTGACAATATATTCAACAATTTTGTTACTGCTGGTTTTAAAAAATGTGTTATATGCGGAATATATAAAACACCACTAACACAAGACTGCGATCATTTTGACATTTAGTATGACTGCTAGAGGATCATTTTAACGTTACTGTATTTATAAGACCTGAGTTCCATAACGTTCTAAAACAAAAACATCTTTTTAGAATTCACAGAGAACTGTTAGAGCAAATTGTGGAACATCTTTCTGCCATAAACTATAAATTCATCAAGTCTGTTATGACAAGCCAAATGACACGTGGGCCAGGCACAGCAGCGCAATCTTCTAACACTGGAAACATTATATGATATTAGTACTTTTTTAGTGTTACTTTATTTAAATATCCCACATGCACATTCAGAAGGTTTTAGACTGTTTAGATTTGTACAGCAAGGCCTTTCATTACTAAAGAACCAAGCATAGTGTTTGTATGGTAGCGCAGTAAAAATCACAGGTTTCTGATGCTCACAGTGTGCAGTGTTGATTGTTAGATAACTGTGGGTTCTGCATTCTGTCAATCAGGACTTAAAAAGGGCTGCCTAGCAGTATCTGCAATATATTTAAAGGGAAAGTGTCATCATAGTTTATAATTAAAAATAAAGATTAAACTTAAATGGACACTGTAGTCACCAAAACAACTACTGCTTAATGTAGTTGTTCTGGTATCTACCGCGTGTCCCTGCAGGCTTTTTAATGTAAACACTGCTTTTTCAGAGAAAAGGCAATGTTTACATTACTGCCTAGGAAAGCCTCTAGTGGCAGTCACTCAGACCACCACTAGAGGTGCTTCATGGGTCAGTGTTGCACAGTGTGCAGCACTGACTTTTAGCATCTCCACACACTGCATGGAGGCGCTAAACTTTTCACATAGAGATGCACTGATTCAATGCATCTCTTTGAGGAGATGTTGATTGGCGTAGCGTGGTGTTTTACATGCATATGCGATAGTCTCCCAATGCTTTTCTAGTACATCCCAGCCAAGGTGGCGGAGGCAGCTGCAAGGAGACCCACACAGCGCTGGATAAAGGGGGTAATATCATCTTTAACTCTTTTTCACAGTGGGGCAGCCACCTAAACTGTTATTTTAGACTTTTCTGACACTATATTATTCCTTGCAAGATTTCAACAGCCGAACAGAGCTCGGAGCATAGTTCGGAGATGCCCAGCATTAGATCATGACCTTCATTCCACGCTGAAAGCTTATAAGAAAATCCTGTATTTTGGAGTGATTCTATGTTTTTACTTTTTGAGGCTGCACTTGCAGAGCATTTACCAGTTATCATGTGAAGGGGACATATTGGTAAGTTTTCCTTGAAGCAAATGCTTCTCTTTAGGGGATGTTCCTTTATGTATGGAATCAATATATGCAAATATATGTGGACCTAGCCTATTCGGCTTGATTACAACTTTAAAAGCTCACTTATCATAGACATGACTAGACCACTTTGATTGCCATAATAATCAGTGAGGTTTATTCACTCAACAGTAAATTGTATAGCCCAAACCGCAAGGAACGCCAACGGTCCAGCTATGCCATGTTAGATCTGAATTGTCCAATGCCAGTCCTGGACTGTTGGTGGCCCTTGAGGACCGGGTTGAGAATCACAGCTGAAAGTGAATTGAAACCCAAACTGGAAACTGCTAAAATAGAAAAGCTGTAATTAGAGCCCAGTTGGAGATTTTTTTCACAGAAAAAGTACTGTTTGGACTGCAGGGATAGTCTCTTCGCACCTACACTACTACATGATGCTGTAGCTGTTCTGTCACTAAGAGTGTCCATTTAACTGATTTAACCTAAGGACCTAATAATGCTACTTATGTTATTATCGGTATATTGAGTTTGCCATTATCACCAAGAGGTAATTTACATGGTTTATGTATTACACGTGACAGTAGCAAACTGAATAGTAATCAAAACATAGAAATTCATATACTTTAATTAGCAATTGGAAATTATACCCAGGTAAATTACACGTTTAGAGAGGCAAACAAAGCGTCTTACAAAACTGTAAATGGAACTTGTAATTTGTAGTTGTAAATATATGACTGCTGGCTAGACGGTGATGAAAACATTGCAAAACAAATCTCAGTTCTCAAATACAGCACTTTATTTTAACAGAACGTAAAACGTGTTATCACGTAGAGACACAGAGGTGAGCATCATGGGGATTGTAATCAGATTATCACAACGTCTCTATTTTATAAAAAATTAAGAAGCTCACTGCCAATATGCATGCATGTGTTCATTATGTTAAAATTAACAATAAATATAAAAAAAAAAATTTGTATACATATCTTTAGTTGGGTACAACCCAGGCATTTGGGGCTTAATAATTATGTCCAAAATAGTTATTGAACCAAAATAACACTTGAATTAAATTAATTTCATGATAATCTAAAACTAAATAGTGTATTAACCAAAAGACAGTCTACCATAAGTGAAGTATCCAGAGGACCATTAATATTGAATGCATTTTCTATGCATCCCCTTTAAATCTAGGGGATGCCTTTCCCCAAAAATACCAGGTCAATAAAATAATAATTTAAAGAAAAAGAGGGGGAGGGACAGTGGTATGAGTGATATGGCTCTTTTCCTCCATGACCACCTACTCCTCGGCAAGACTGAGCTAACGCATGCTGTCTGCACCCAAGTTTGGCGTCGAAAGAGAGCCTCACAACTGCTCATCCAGTCATCTCCCAAAATGTTCTCACTATCAACAGAGAAATGTCACTTGCTCGTGCCAAAACATTGCTGGCCAATCAGAATACAGCCCTGCTATTGCTGCCTTTAAACAGCACCGACAAATCAGAGCGCCAAGTACCACCCTGGAGAGAGCCCGATACAACAAAATCTCCACTCAATGAACACAAGCCACCGCTCTTTTAGATGCGTAAGTGCATAGACTGGGCCATCCACAACTTTCTCACCTAGAGCAAACAGGTTTATTCTCTAAATTAGAACTTGATGAAGTTGACCAGGAAATTTTCAGGACATTTCTAATTTTAGGCCAGAACAGCGACATTTTAAATCTGCTGGTCAATACACCATTTTGTAAATACACAGGTTTATCTACTACAGTGTGAATTTCAACTTTTAGGCCCCATTAACTGAATTAAAAACAGTAAGTTAAGCTTTTAGTTTGGCTAATTTGTCAGAAAATTTGAAATTTACTGTGAATCCACTTTGAATTCATGATGATTTAAACTTTTAGTAAATTGCCCTATTTTTCCATATTAAATAAACATTAATATTGTACTTACAGATTTTTTCTATTATTGCGTACGAGTAAAATGTTACCAGTCTTTTTCCTCCAAGTACTTTATAGTGGAAATGAACCGGGTAATGAACATATGTAAAAGCTACAATCTTGTGTTTGATAGTATCACTGCAGGCTATGCGTGTCCTTTTTGCTACTTTTTATTTATGGTTTTGTGCAGCTTACTTTATGAAGAGAACTTTTGAAACATGGTCAGAGGTTGAAATAATATGCTGTATGTCAGGTATGTCTAAGAGCGGGTTTCAGCTTGCTCTAATTGCTAGCTTTCTGCTATGCTTAATAAAAAAGCAGATCACCTGAAAAAATTGCAAATGTCAAATATTGTAGGAGTATTATTTTTAAACACAATATACATATTAACAATGGAAAACGCGGAACCATAGTCTAGTATAAAAAAAATTATGTAATTTTATAATTTTAGGATAAACTCACTACTAAAAAATGACCACCTAAATATACTGTACTTTTTTTGTTTTGTGTGTTTGTTAAGGAAAGTAGTTGGCAAATGCATTTTAGTAGCTTTTTAATAAAAATAAAGTGTTTATTAATTTCTGTTTCAGAGTGTGTGGAACGGGTGCAATTAAACTGACAGTACTGGAGTTAATTACATTTTTTTGTTATGTTTTTTTAAAGAAGATGCCCTTCGGTCATTGTGTGTCCATCAGACCCTAGTGGCATTTACGGCATAATCCTCTACAAGTGTTGCCACCTCCTATTGTCACTACTAGTGGCAGGCATCTCCTAAGCATAAAGAATGGACCGCTTACATGATTAATACCTTCCCCATCATCTGGGTACCTTTTCAGTTGTACATATCAGCATCTGCAGAATAATTTAGAGGCGGGCGAAACGCGTCACGTTTGACATCAGAGAGAGGCGGTCCCAGCGATCACGTGATCGGATCACAGCCGGAACCCGGAAGCTTCTAAGCTGTATCGTTTTTTTGTGTGTAAATTCCTGCTTATTTAGTTGTGGGTTTATTGCTGGCAAACCCACTACTTCAAGTAAGAGTTTTTAACCTTTTGTTTAAATAAATACTGTGTTTGATCCTATTCAATTTTGGCTCCTGCCTCTCTATTTGTTTTTACTGCCTAGATATTACATCTGATTCAGAAGAGTATCCTGTCTTGCTATATTGTGGGTTTATCCCTCTCGATTGGAGCAATTCAAACGCAGAGCCAGGGGTGATAGGGCTCTGGTCCATGTGAGTTGATCCCCAGATATACTTTTAATTTTGCATACCCTGTATATACAGATAGTCTGCACTATATACTCTATATATTTTTTCAAAGTACTCAGAGAAGACCCTGACTCCAGTGCAGTTGCTAGCGCACTCCAACTTTCTGGTATCTTCTGCAGAATAATTGATGATCTGGTTTATTGAAAGATTAGGAGGTTATACTGACAATCTGATTAGGAGGTTATACTGACAATCTGTCCAACTGCAAGTTGGCCATTCACATAGAGAAACAAAAGGCAGACTGAGTGAGTAACTTCAGTAGTGTGTGCGTCTGTCTATGAATTTCTATATTGTATGTTGTCTGTATGTAAATGTGCATGAGTGGCAAGATGATCCTGATAGAATGTACCCATAGGGAGATGGATTGGGGCCTGTGACTATTGGGAGATATGTGGGAAGAAAGGAGATAACTAGGATGGGAATGTTGTTTAGGGGATTAAATAGGAGGGGTGAAGCTAAAAGGAAATGCTGTTAATGGAGAGCATCGGTGGATCCTTCCAGTGCAGGGATTGGCTGCAGGGACATGACCAATGGAGTATGTGGTCATATTTTTTGGAAAATTTGAACAGGGAGTCACTACTGGAAATTAATTGGGGTGATATGGCTGTAGGGAGATTCATTGTAGGAATACAACTTGGGGATTCATTGATGGAGATATGTTGAGGGAATTTAATTGGAAGGTGCTGTTTGATTTGCAGAAGGCAGCACATTCTCCTTAAAACCAGGCAACTGAATGCTTGGGGCTGCGCAGATACCTCTCAGATCTTCATTTAGTCAATAGGCAACCACTTGTTACTTATGACAGCTGTATTATTCATCCTAGCAAACATTGCTATATTGTTTACTTGGTTTGGGAAATGAGAACCTGTCACTTCCAATAAATAATGATCAAGACTGAAAAGAGAATGGCAAACATTCATGCAATGCACGTCACTTTTGACATGTAGCAGAAGACACAACAAAAGGAAAACCTGTCTGGCATAGTTGCACATGCTCAGAACATATAACACATCTCTTTCACTAAGCTCTCTAATTCGTATTTTTTTTGTGTCCCTTGAAGGGAAATTAAAAATAAAAAAACACAGCAGAACATCTATTTTGACCTGAGAGTATGGACTCCAGAGAGGTATGCAAATACACACGTCACTCAAATAGAATTATTCAATAATAAAGGACTGTAGAGCAATGCAGAGAATTGAGAAGGGACATATACAAAATAGCAACAGAAATTAAAAAAAAAAAAAATCTGAGAAAAATCTTTAACAGCTTTGGTTCTAATTTTTGTTTTGATGCCCATTTTGCAAAGTCCCAGTTTAGTAAATCATTGCATATATTATGAAACATAGACATATTTGCAGTTCCTGTAAACCTTCAATCTAAGCCATATTATCTAGATTTGCCCTAAAAGAAGATAAATAAAATATAGAAACCCATAACGCAAATCCATTATTTTAATGCACTCCTGCAGGATACATTTTTTCATAAACAAGTCATATAATAATAATGTCTATTCTTTTGTGGTCTCTTCAGACTCATACATAAGGAGGTTATCACTGTAAACATATAGAAGCCAACCCAATACAAAGTGAATTTGGTACTTTGACAATCCTGTCAATCAAATTCTTCAATCCCTAGAAGCAGACACACTCAGGTTGCCCTGACTTGCTTTTTCGAAAGCACGATTTATTGCAAACAGCTCAGTAACAAACCTGCCTACACAAGTCCCTAGTTAATTACATGGAGTAAAGATAGACAGGTATGCGTTTAATATATGATTTATAGCCTTCAAATTAAATATAAATATATATAATATATATATATATATATATATATATATATATAAAAACACACACACCTCTGAAAAATTCACTAATAAAAGTACAATATTTTAACTTTTACAAAACACATTACTATACAGTGTGTAGTATAAAAATATATTCTGAAATTGCTGCATCATATTTTTGCTGACAGTGTCCAAGTTACAGCTAGGGATCAAGAAGCATGCTTGTTTAACCTTCCAATTATAGCATAGTTAAACGCATTCACTATTTAGTATATCTGTTATTATTCCCACAAAGATCAATGAGACAAAGACTGTACATGTGAACACATGATGCCGCATACAACGCTGCCCACCTTTATCTCAATTGAGGAACGTACAAATGCATGACACCAATGCAGTTCTTCCACTTCCATTAGACACACCATATATGACAACACATGCAGCAATTCCACCTTTGAAATAATATAAAAACAGATTGCACATGCCCAATGAAAAACATAAAATAGAGTCAGTAGGGGAAAGCTTAATATATGTTTTAAACCCTTTAGAGGCGTGGTCCAAGAAGCGTAACCAATAAAATATACGATGGTAATTATGGTGATAGAAGTGCCCAGGTGCTGTCCCAAGGTAAGTAATCAAATTGTTAGCGAATAGTTGCTTACCCAGGTGCCTCTAGTCCTCACTTGAGATATCACTTAAGTGGAAGTGCCTGCTTCCACACTAGTGTTATCAATTCCACTAAAGGACAAACCTAATACATCTATTGTGGAAGGAGACCTGAACTGACTTCTTAAAGGGACACTATGGAGTAAAGATTATAGTCACTAGAACTACTAAAGCTTAAGGTAGTGGTTCTGGTGTCTATAGCCTGTCCCCACAGGTTTTTAATGTAAACACTTCCTTTTCAGAGAAAAGACAGTGTTTACATTACTGCCTAGTAATACCTACAGTGGCAGTCACTCAGACGGACACTAGAGGTGCTCCCTGTGTCAGTTCTGCACAGCGTGTAGCACTGGTATTCAGCATCTGAATGAGATGCTGAATGTTCCCCAAAGAGATTCAATGATTCTGATTTCCTTGTGCATGATCCTATGGGAAAGCTTTGGATTGGCTGACATCAGCAAGTTGGATAATCTCAGCCATTGAGGCAGAGCCAGACGGAGCCAGCCGTGGTGAGACCAGTGCGGCATGGGAGAAAAGGTGAGTAAAAATCGTAGGGGAACAGCGACCTACACAGCCTTACCAGGACTATAGCAAAATATATGTTTGGCATGGGTTACCTGGCACTGCATAATGTGGAAGACCACTAGGTAACCCTGGCACCATAATTACAATTGTGCACAGTAATGATGCATAGAATGTCCCTGCAAGGACCTACTATGTCTATGCTATCATTACAATCCTTTCTTTAAAGAGGCACTCTAAGCAACGTTACAGCCTACATTTTGTACAAATATAAATGTCATTCATTGGCTAAAGGACCACGATAGGCACCCAGACCACTTCAGCTTAAAGGACCACTCTAGGCACTCAGACCACTTCAGCTTAATGAAGTGGTCTGGGTGCCAGGTCCTTCTAGGGTTAACCCATTTTTTCATAATTATAGCAGTTTCAGAGAAACTGCTATAATTATGAATGGGTTAAGCCTTCCCCCTAATCCTCTAGTGGCTGTCTCATTGACAGCCACTAGAGGCGCTTGCGTGCTTCTCACTGCGATTTTCACAGTGAGAGCACGCAAGCGTCCATAGGAAAGCATTGTAAATGCTTTCCTATGCGACGGGCTGAATGCGCGCGCAGCTCTTGCCGCGCGTGCGCATTCAGCCGGCGGGGAGGATCGGAGGCGGAGAGGAGGAGAGCTCTCCGCCCAGCGCTGGAAAAAGGTAAGTTATTACCCCTTTCCCCCTTCCAGAGCCGGGCGGGAGGGGGTCCCTGAGGGTGGGGGCACCCTCAGGGAACTATAGTGCCAGGAAAACGAGTATGTTTTCCTGGCACTATAGTGGTCCTTTAATGAAATGGTCTGGGTGCCAGGTCCATCTAGGATTAACCCTTTCTGCTGTAAACATAGCAGTTTTAGAGAAACTGCTATGTTTACCTATGGGTTAAACCAGCCTCTAGTGGCTGTCTCATTGACAGCAGCTAGAGGCGCTTCTCACTGCGATTTTCACAGTGAGTAGACGCCAGCGTCCATAGGAAAGCATTGAGAATGCTTTCCTGTGGACTGGCTGAATGCGCGCGCGTCTCATGCCGCGCATGTGCATTCAGCTGATGACAGGAAAGGAGGTGGAGAGTCCCCGGCGGGAGGAAGACCCTAAGAGTATGTTTTCCTGGCACTATAGTGGTCCTTTAAGCGTTTCAGCTAATATGTTCAAGCCAAATATGTAGAGAATAGTTACATCATGTCCAGCTGGGGGCCTGACCACAGGCACACTGGGGACTGATTTGACACAAAACTAAGGTACCGTTGACTTCTGGCACCATAACCACAATAGCGAGCTGTAGTGGTTTACAGTGCCCCTTAAAAGATCATATTTGAAAGTGGAATGACCCATTCACTTAACAACAGCAGTGATATATGGTGCTTACTTTTTAATTAAGCAGGCTGTTTCATGACGGCATAAGGTCTTCAGAGATTAAACTCTTGTGACAAAGTGTAGTATTTTCTTGTTGAGAGGTTAAACGTAGCTGTGCTCTCACTGCAGTCTCACAGTGAATATTGTAAAGTTTAGAAACAAATTAAACCTTTTTTTTCTATTCTGCATTTACACAGAATCCAAAACATTTTTACTAGCATGCAACGCAATGAACATTTTTCTACTGCAATTGGTAATACCGTACATTGCATTGCATTATACAGTGTGACTGGGATTTTCATTAAATTATTCAAAATGAGCAGGCCAAAAGAGCTGATTTTATTACATTTTAATTCCCACTGTTTATTCAGTAACATTCCAGAATAATCAATATGGAGATTATTTGCTAATAAATTGTATTCAAAACTGATTTGGGTGAAAATTGCAGTTTTAAAAGTTCAACTCCGCTATGATCACACACTGGCTATTTTGTCCTGAATTTCACAATTTGTTTTTGAAGTCACCACGAGTGATGGGTTTCACTATTCACAGTTTTAGTGAACAAACCTTTATTTTCTTCAAAAACACTTTTTGTGCATAGTGTAAAACTGAAGAAGAATCCATTTTGCATATATAGCCCATTCATACACTGCAAACACTATATAATAAAACAGAAATGAATGACTGCCTTCAGAGAGAGGATTAACGGCTAGCATTGTGCATTTTACTGAAGAATTATGTGCACAGAATAGCTATTGTACATCTGTTTCTGTGTCTTCACAGTGGATTTCATTCACTCGATAAAAAGATTCTAAACAGAAATAATTATATATAGTGACAGAAGGATGTTTATTTCTTATTCTGTCCAGTGTTCTTGTTTTACATTACACTTTGTTTGGTTGTCACAAACCATCATGAAACTCTACCCATTTACAGTAAAAAAAATAATTATTAATTGATAATAAAAAAAGTTAATATATGTCTGTGAAATCGTTTTTGGGTTAAATATGTTGTATAAAGACTTACACATTGCACAGTCTTCTACAGACAGAGTGTTGGGTCAGTTCACCTGTTTTGTGCGTGTTATGTTGGAATTTGAGATTTCCATCCAACTTTACAACCATGTCTAATGAAATGTGTCTAAAATGCTGAACATGCAGATTGTTTGCCCCATGATCATTTCTAAAAGCAGAATTGGACATTGAGATTGGAGTAACCCTTAAGAAGAACTAAGTGGAACCTTCATCTTCTTCAGGTGTAGGGGAGGCCTCATAGAATGGAGTTGAGTAGGTCCGGGTGGATTTTTTTGAATGCATACAGGGTTATTTACTAATTTGAGTATTGTCATGAATTTAAAGTGAATTTCAAACAGAAAGCCAACCCACACTCATCACACTCAGCAAACCACACTCATAATATTCAACCAACCATCACACAATCACATTTAGCCACTCTCCCCCATAATGAAACTCCACCAACCTCCGAACACAACCAAACCTGGTCACCACACACGATCACACTCAGCCTTCCCGCACACACACAATCCCATTCAGTCAATCTCCACACATCACACAAACACCCCTTGTACATTACAGTCAGCCACTAACACACACTGGTTGGCGTTGACAGTGTGTTATTCAGATACAGTTGCTAAATTTCAACTTTGATGAAGATCACAGATTTAAAACATTATGTGATAGCTCCTGTTTATCTGCATTCTATCATTCTGCTGGTACCGTTTATCTAAATACAGTTTGTAAAAAAAAAAAAAAGGCAAGTATTTACTTTAGTGTTTAACTGAAACTATCATTTAAAAAGGTATACTTTTCAATGTGGTTAGCTCACTTTAGCAACTTACTGATTTATTCTTTGCATGAATGAGAGGAGCTATACACGTATAAATGGCAGAGGCTTTTGTATGTAGGTGTAAAAGCAAAAATATGTATGTGTAAGGGAGAATGTGTTATATATTAAGTCAGGCTCTCTTTGTCTGTGTACATGCATGTGTTAGGGAGAGAGGTTAAGTTGAAGAGTTGTAAAGAGGGGAAATAAAATGAGGTTCTGCAAATATTTCAATATTCTTTGCTTAGGTTAGTTATCATGGCTGGACAGAAATGTAGTTCAGAGGGACGTGCTACTTTTCTGGAGTTTACACTATTAAATGAAACATTGAAAATCACCTATAGTTTTGTTAACCTTTTTCAGAAATTGCTCCATTTGTATTTGAATTTATATTAAAAATATAACAATTTACATCATAATCCGACTAACACAATGCAAATAGAAACATCTGCTATCTCCACTCTGTATGCGTTTTCTAGGCTGACTGCACAGAACTCTAGAAGTGATATTCATCAGGTATTCCTATTAAATGGAGGATGTTCCGTTTATTTAACAAGTCTCCAAAGAATCTGTTCTTTTAATTACTGTGCAACTGAATTTACGGTTGTTATTTTTTTTTCATAACGTGCATTCTCCATAAAATAAAATAAAAACAATTATTTGCAAAACTGTTGTCAGGAATTAAACTGAATTTCCAATTTAAGCCAAAAAAACAGATCAGAAAAATTCCACAATCTGCTATGTTTTTGTTTTTTTTTAAATCGATTATTTTGGCCTGAAAACTTAAATCCAGTGTGAATTTACAACTTCCATTTCAGTAAATACCCACTCAAGATTTTACAGTTTTTTGTGAATAAACCGCTCTAAAAATTAACCACATCTTAGTAGGAGTTAAAACGCATGCAAAACAGTTATTGTAACCAGAATGTTTTCTCCATTGCATGAGAAGTTTCCTTTTCCATCTTGCTACATTTCTCGCCTAACTTTAAATGTCATTAAATTGCTTGTTAAAAAAAAAAAAGTTCACATGTATACATGACAATGGAAAATAGATAAGTATTTTCAACATCAACAGGGCTGTCATTAGAAATGTTGGTAGAATAAAATGAAAGTGGTCTAGGCACTCCTTGGTTCAAGACAGCTTGACAAAGACCCAATAAAGTGCCTGTCTTGAACCAAGGAGTGCCTGGACCCCTTTCATTTTATTCTACTAAACTGGGAATCTGGCGTTTGGTTCCGGTACAGTAAGCACCCTGGCTCAGATTGATGGGAGTGAATGCAGTTCCACACACAATACAAAAAAATTAGAAATGTTGGGGCCTATTAAAAAATAACACTAGTGGGGGGCTCCACCATACACTCACAGACATGTAAATACATGCACACACATATGCATACTCTAAACACACCAGGTGCAGGCAACCTTTGGCACTCGAAATGGTGTGGACTACATCTCCCCTGATGCTTTGCCAGCATTATGGCTGTAAGAGCATCATGGGAGGTGTAATCCATAACATCTGGAGTGTCGAAGGTTGCCTACCCCTGCTCTAGACAAACATTCACCCACACACAGTGCCAGACACACAAATTGGCATATAAACACACCCAGTGCTAGACATAACTTCCTAGACAAACACATGGTGACTATCAAGCATATTGTATCTGCCCTCATTTTTCCTTCCTATTTGCAGCAGGCGGGTGGCGTCTCTGTGACTAAGACATGATTGGAAAGTAGGTGCAGGCTCCTTGTTCTCCTTATCTTTTGCACTGGGAAGAAGTGATCTGATGTCACATACATACACATTCCACAGCCATGTCTTTCCATCAAAGAAGGACACTTTAATTGTAGGGCTTTAAAATTGTGGCTGTCCCTCCAAAATACATATCCTCCCTATATTGGCGACCTATAATTCAGGATGCCGGTAGACAGTGTAAAAATGGGCAGACAAGTAATGGGAAACACATCACTGACTCAGATGGGGGATTTTAAGGGGGTTTAAAGGGCCACATACAGTGCTTACTTTGCATGCAGTATGTTACTTTAAGCATTGCATACAGCTCATTGGTCAGCATAACAGAGTGGAACCTCATGTAGCCCCAGGGATTTAACCCTGCTCACACCAAAGGGCTTGGACGTGTAAAGACATCCTAACAGTGCAGTCCAATATAGTCAGGAAGTACTGTCACGTCCTAACGTCATGTGGTTCATTAAAAGTAAAAGATTTTTTTTTTTTAAAGATCCTTTTAAGACTGCTAAAAGAAACCACTCATCATGCATGGACCAAATAAACAAATCACAACTGTGACGGATCCCCCCCATGCTTACAAGGACAATAGCTCAGGATATCCCTGTACATGGTTACAAATTTGTGGACGAGGTTATGTGTAAACGGCTTTAAGGCACTACGTAGCTGTTATCGGCTTATTTAATAATTGCACTAATTCTGCTTGATGAGTAGAGAGGCCAAAATTTGAATATGTTTTAATAAATAAGATGGCCATAAAGGCATGAGCTTAACACCAAAACCAGTAATAAGAAAACTTTGACACGTAAGGTTGATACTTTCAGTTGATGCTATAACTCACCTTCAAAGTACTATACACTTGTGGACTATTGCAGAGGTACACACCTGGGGGTCTTTAAAGAAACACTCCATATGAATCATTCTTAGTGCTTCCACATTAACCCAAACCCAAGAGTAGAGGAAACAAACCATTGTGAAACCAAGAAGGTAAGACGGTTTCAACTGACTCCATAACCACTTTATTGAGGTGAAAAGCTTGTGGTATCCACATTGCTCCTTTGAAGTAGAAGAACACTTTGGTCTACTACATTAATACATGATGTGTGAAAGGCACAGTAAATATATTACCTCTAAATTCAACAGCATTAAATGAATATGCTGCAAAGTGAAAATACCCAAAATAACATAACACCCCACGCTGCTTTCTTTTTCAAATAGTATGTCAAGACAGGGCTTATTTGCCGTTTAGGCTGCTTTTCTGCCTTTAAATCTGATGTAGGCCGAGTAAAACTGTCAAAATTGCAAGTCTGAATTCTGAAATGGACAGATTTCATTTTATGACTAAAACATGGCCAACTATAAATGCGTAAAAGGTATTGCTGTAGTCTGGGGATATAGCTGAACACTGAGAGGGTTTTTTTGAATCTGCCCACATGTGTGTTACAATGTTCACAGAAAAAATACGCTGGTGGTTATGAGGGTAAAAAAAAATCCTAACAAAAAGAAAAAACAGACATTTTGGCAAAGTGAAGATAAAATAGCAGCATGGAAAGTGTCACAGTAAGTCTGTCTGGGGAAATACCTTGTGGTGTCTAGTTTCTAACATGATATAATCTTGTGTATTAGTTTTGCATTTTGGTAACGCAGTCCCAGAATACCAAATTCTGCAAAACCAGCAATTTCCTTCTTTCTATTATTCTTTACTCCCAGACACCATGGAGAGTAAATGAATCTATTTTGAGCTAATTACTTTTTTATTATGCTGTTTATATGAGCTGGTTTTCTTTTTTATTCTGATAAAACTATAATCCAAATCAAGATTTTTTTTTTTTACTGTATTTACCATTTTTAAATATTTTATTCACACTTGTTTTTATTACATAAAGGCTATTCACAGAAAGCACCCATCCAGCTCTTGTCCCTTAAAACCAAAATATAATATGAATGGGTGTCCTTACCAGGAAAGTATGATGTTACAGTTTAGAAAGCATATCAGAAATTCACTCCTTAAGGGGGTTAATATAGCTTTGTCTGTGAAGCAAATAAACCGATAACAATCTGAAGCTAGACTTGCCACTTGTTTTTCTGTGGCAGCCATGACTAAGACCTTTTGCTTCTTTTAACTCAAACTGCTAATAGTGCCTTTCAGGGTATGTAACCTTTACTTAACCCTTATTGTTCTCTGTAATAAATCTTTTTACTAGACACAATGTAGTTCAAAATGACCAGGACATCAAAAGAGTCCTTGAAAACAAGAAATGGTTATGTTGCCGATAAGGGATTTTATGCAATGATTTAAAGCAGGTTTCTCCAAACTGCTGAACTACAACTCCCATGATTCTTTGCATGAAATAGATAGCAAGACAATCATGGGAGTTGTAGTAAAACAACATCAGGAGGGCCGGAGGCTGGAGATCCCTGAAAGGGACACTATAGTCACCAGAACCACTACAGCTTAATGTAGTTGTTCTGGTGTGTACAGCCTGTCCCTACAGGCTTTTTAATGTAAACAATACATTTTCATAGAAAAGGCAGTGTTTATATTGCTGTCACTATCACTCAGAAGGCCACTAGAAATGCTTCCTGTATCAGTGCTGCACAATGTGCAACACTGGTGTTAAGGGAGTAGAGGAGCTTAACATTCCCAATAGATATGCATTGACTTAATGCATCTCTATGAGGAGATGCTGATTGGTGCAGTACTGCGTTTTGGCAGATTTAATCAAGATTGATGATATCAATTATGGAGACAGAGCTAGCCATGGTTTGAATGGTGCAGCGTGGAAGAAAAGTGCAGTAAAATCACTTTTGTACTAAGATCTAAGGGGGTCGGGGGCTAAATAGGGACTTTACCACTATAGTGTCAGGAACACATGTTTGTGTTCCTGACACTATAGTGTTTCTTTAAAGAAAATGAGTGGCAGTTAAGCAGTTCAGTGGGTTTAAAAAATACATGCTTTAATTAGAACTAACATTTTTCACTATTATGAATCATGACAAAGAGAAAGAGAAGATGGGTCATTGGCCTGCAGTGACCTAAGAGTAGCATAGTTAATAATGCATAAGAGCAGAACAAGCTGATCTTGAGGCCTGTTATGGTAGAAAGTATGACTATAAAATATTTACCAAGTCTTATGATTATTAATGGGACACTATAAACACAAAAATTACTTAAATATACACTCTAAGCACCACAAACACTATACCATTTTGCCAGGGTACCGGCTTTCCCCCAATGCCATGTATTTTGTAAGAGAAGCAGGATGTCTCTATAGACTTACTTTGGATGATACATGTCTCTGCTCATTGGCTGAGATTGCTAGGTTGATGCTGTCTGGTAGTGAGCATTGTCCTACATGGCATCCCTTAATTCTTAGGAGCTAAGTGGATTCTGCTAAAGGAGAATATCAAAAGCAGAGTATGCAGCCACAAGTAGTCAGCACCATAAGCATTACAGTTAGGTGAGTGTTCCTTTAATACAGCTCATGCCTCCCAGATGCAGCAGGACTATGGACAAGAAAGTTACTGTTTTGAAATAAGGGGGGGGAACAGCTTGCAAGCATAACTCCTCTAGATTGTAAGATCATTTCAACAGGTTCCTCATTAACCTATTGTTCCTGTAACATTTTGTAATAATCTAAATTATTGTTAAATGCCCCCTTTATTATATTGTAAAGTGCCGTGGAATACGCTGGCGCTATATAAATGCCAATAATAAATAACTTATGTAAAACGTAGAATTTTAGGGTTTTAGAGAAATAATTCTGGGGAAAAAAAGCTAAATGCATATCATCAATTATCAATTTAAAAAAAAAAAAAAAGGAATTGAAGAATCCACTCTCAAAATTGTCTGTTCATAAAATTATTTATTTAATTGTGTAATCTAGAATATCTTTTAGATTTTTTAAGAAGAAAAGTTTGACGCGATAAGCAATGAGACAATAGTCAATCTCAACAAAACATAGGATGAAACCTCCAACCAAATGTCCACGGTCAATTCCATCAATTTAGTTCACAAAGCTGCAGTATGCAGTATACATCAGTAGTCCAAGAATTGGGCCCATAGTGGAAGGGGGCTTGAGAGTGTGGGTCAGAACTGTGTCACTGGCTAAATCAAAGATTCCACAAGTCAGCCCACTGAGGGCAGACTCTGCAGGGAGCACTGATTCACTGATAGTGCAAGTGTGTCTTATAATGTGCTCACAGTTTGCTTGTTGGGGACAGTTCCCTAGTGTCCCCAAAAGTGGGAGACCAGGGAATTAAGTCAGGATGAAGGGACAGGACCTAAAAATCAGGATTGTCGGGAGGTCTGCAGAAGAGCAGATAGTACAGTAATGTTTCCCAGAAATACTACTGTCAAGAGAGTATTGAGGATAGGGATAGCCCCACACCAGTGGCACTTAACCAGCAGTGACAGTCTTAGCTAATTAATTGATCAGCCAACACTCTTAGGAAATGAGATGGCCCTGTGGGGCATGGTTTAACAGGAGCTATCAGTTCTTCATAAAAATTTAACTGGTGTCTGAAATTAGCAAACAGTTTGCTGGCTTACATTGGGGGTTGCCAGGGCACAGTCACTCTCTCTAAGGAAAACTGGAAGCTCCTGAATTGAGCTTTAAATAGTTTTCATAAGCTAAACCCTACTATGTAGCTCTAGCCAATTGATTGTGGTGCACTGTAGCAGTTATGGTGCATAAAGTGTTCCTTTAAAAACAAGAAAAATCCACTAAATTCAAGATTATTAATTTTTTTTAAATTGACATTCTTTATTTTGGTGGTGCATTGAGAAGTACACGAGTTAACATAGACACTTGGTGCAAGACAAGATGTGTGTATACAGACATATTAGTGAAGCAAAAAAGTCAAGATTTACTGCACCTTTTTAAATGGAAAGAAAAGATTAAATTAATACAATCAAGTAAGACAACCATGTCGAAGTGCTATTGCAAAGAATGGTATAAGCAAAATTCCTGACAGGTAGTGAGACATATATGAAAACTGACATGCTTAGTTATCTTGTGCATAAACTATATGTGCGTAAAATATCCACTGAATGTAAAGACATAAACATTACCATACTGTCACTTCACTCAAGGTAAAATAGGAAAAATAAAAGGCTAAAACAAATTAAACTAAAACAATAACAGTAGTAGTGGACATGAGTGAGAAACAGCTTCTGATGGGGAGAGCCAGGTCTGCTTCAACCGATCCCTGTGAGTGGCCAGATGGTACTACGACTAGGAGAGTCAATGATAAGATCCAAGTGGTAGCATCAGAGCAGGACTCCCCTCCAGCCCTGTGCCTGATTGAGGGCCTGCATATGGAAACCACAGTCCTGGTGTCTGCTGTCAGCCAAGACTTTCCCCTGTCGGGGGTGGACAGGGGATCGAGGTGGAATTTGCTGCCGTCGGCAGGTGATCTTCTGCCTTTGTGGGCGAAGCAATGAAGCAAGGCCTCGAGAGGCTCTCAGCCCGGGCAGGCAGGCCAGTGAGTAAGTAAGTGCTGATGTAGTTGGGTTGCCCAAAATGGGTCTGCTCTTCTCTGGCAGCAGGCTTTTCGGTCCTCAGCTCGGACATAGGGGTCTTCCTGCGGTCCTGGAGCTTCAACCAGAAACCATGGAAAATGTCCTCAAGCCGAAGTAGGATATTTGCCGTACAGCTGTGTTGTTGCTGCCCCTGTGGCCACAGGCCCTGTGCCCCCGGAGGAATGGCAGGCGGCATGTTAATTAATTGTCGCTTCAAAGATGGAACCCAAAGTCCACTATGAACAAGAGGTCAGTCCGGCAGTAGTAGCTTGAAACAGTTCAGTGGGGACTGGGATAACCCCCACTGGAGTAAGAGCAGAGTTGATCAGCCTGACGGGTTGGCCAGCGGAGAAATCGGCCGCCTTTCCCCTGCTTATTCGTCCGCAGGCCTTAACGTGCCACCGTGGTCCTGCAGTACCGTAAATTCCAGTGAAAGGTGTCTGTGAGGTCGTTGCTGCATCCCTGGTGTGGCTGGTGTAGGATTGTGGTAATTTGTGGCAGTGTAACCAGGTTTATTCTCCACAAATCATTAAGCTGAGCAGGAGCTCTCACAGCACACGTCTGATCAGCTTGGAGCTCAAGCTCCGCCCCCTCAAGATTTATTTTTGTATAAAACTAATTTACACTTTTTAGTAAAAAAAAAAAAGCAATGTGATTGGCTGAGATCACAAATTCTGATGATTTCAGCCAAGCAGGCAGATCAGGGGCAGAACCAGAAGCCGCAGGCTGGAAAAAAGATAAGATTATACTGTATTTAGGGGGGAAAGGGTTGCAGGGGGCTAGAAAGTGTTTTCTTTTTAAATTCCTTTTTATTGAATTATTTTCTATATATGACATTATACATACAATTCAATTAATTTGAATAAGATTATGTATATATTGAAAAACATCTACCATTCATACATATTTGCATAAAAAATATATCCACAACAACATTTATCGCATTGAGAGTGTCATACGATTTGGATCGGAGGGTTCATATAGCTTTCATCCTTTAATCTATCTAAATAGTGTCAATTTCTTGCACAGGGGACTCCATTGGGCTAGATGGTATTTTTGAATATTTTTAATGCTAAAGGGTCAGGAATACATGTTTGTGTTACTGACCCTATAGTGTTCCTTAAATGTAAAATACACAGTCTAAGATAGATATGTCTACAATGCTTACAAGAGAGGGTTGAGAAACACTGATCCTAAATAACAAAAAAAAATTTTTTATAGAAATCGATTCTTTCATCTGCATTAGGGTTACAAAGATAGCCATCGCAGAGAGAGACTTGTCATGTCTAACAAACTGAATACAACCCCCTCCTTTCACCTCTATGGTAGACAGAAATAGTGGCAAGATAGATGTGTCTGCAGAAGCCTTTTTCTTATGGCATTCACTGCTGTCACGGCATGCACATAACTATATATTTACAAAATTACAGCTCGGAGAAAAGCATAATAACAAAAGTAGATTTTTTTTAAAAAAACGTTACGTCACATTGTCTAGTGTTGCATTGACTGCAAGTGACAATTCTGAATAAATGTACACTGAATAATAATTATTTTGAGGGAGATTTAGTATGTTTTTGACAGTTTCTCTATCAGTGTCCTCCGTTAACCCACTGGCTTTTCTCCAGGTTATGAAACCAAATCTTAAAGATTATTAGGTTATCTTAAGGTAAAGATGTCAGCTGCTGATATATTTCATTAGTTATGTTTTCAACAAGATGTCAGCAAAACTCTGAGTCTGTTGCAGAACCTTTTTTTGGAATTCCACCAAAAAGAAAAAGAAGAAGGTATTGCTAAGTTCAACAGCAATACGAATCTTTCCACTGGGTTGATTTGAATAAGACAGAGGGCAAAAACAAACACCAAAAACGTTCCCAGTAACAAAGTTACTCAGGTTATCAGTAAAACACCCTAAATCCAGTTACAATCACCTGTCAGAAGCTAAAATTTCCATCCAATAAAAACACCCACCTACTGAATAAAGACATTATTTGGTCAAGTTTAAAGCAAAGTATCCAAATCTCTTTACAATCGTCTCAATACTCGTAACACATAAAACAATGTAGTAGATTTCCTTTATGCCACACTTGATTTGCTCAGTGCCACATTGTGCCAGGTTACCTTTGATGGAACCTGAATATAAGCTTTAGAACCCCCAGGCCTATCGCTACGATATTTGCCCTGCATACAAATGTATCAATAAATGGAGTATTTTGAAGAGCGCAATGAATGGTTGAGGCCTAGTTTTTATTTTTGTGTATTTGTATTTGATTTTGTCTCACACAGACATGTTACAATGCTGCCACCCACCCCATGTTTCCCCTATTAAGGATTAATAAGTCTGTAGGAGTTTAGAAAAATACCCATCTCTGTTTCATTAGAGATATTTACCTAAAGCTGAAACAAGCAAGGTGAATTGTTAATTTAGGAACCACCTACCAAAAAGTTTGCCTTGACGTGGTAGGTGGGCTTACACCTAATGGCCATTGCAGTGGTGTCACTAAAAAACTAAATTTGTTTAAATAAGCATAGGGATTTGGGATAGTAACCTTTTTCTTTAGTTTATATTGGATGTATTGGGGCTAATGTGTACTAAGGTCATTGCGTCCATCAAGGAGTAGTGGGAGTTTGAGGGAAGGACTTATTTTTGTGTACTCATCCATAGTGGCACTTTGCATTGTGCCCAGCTCTGCGTATTATATCTCTATTTTTTTTCTCTGTTTGTGGAATGCTTATCTCTGTATTGTGCTCAAATCTGTATATTTTATAGATATCTTTATGTTGTGCCCAGCTTGTTTTATTGTAGAAGTATCTTGTATTGTGCTCAGCTCTCTGTATTGTATTAGTATCGTATCTCTGTCCTGAACAAGGAGGAGTAAATTTTGGTGGGAGGAGTCTGGCGCCCCACCACCTTAAAACTTCACCAGCCGCCACTGATACATTTACATCTGCAGCAACACTTCAATCACATCCACACAGGTTAGACTGCATCAAACCTTTCAACTTTTCAATTAGACAAAGGGACATTTTCCATTTAGAAGTGTGATACTTTGGAGCATTTTCACTTGACTTACTAATAACAATCTGTGCAACTAAATGTAATTTACGACAAGAAGAGTGCATCTCATTTACACAGACTGTTTTCTTAACGCATCTGTTGCAGTCTAAAAATACATTACTGTGAGTTTTATTGCTATGTAGCTCTGTTATACACTCATCACACCAACAATTAGGAGCTCCTAGAAAAGAGGGGCATTAGGATAGAATGGAGGGATAGAGAGAGATTTGGGCCAAAGTATGGACTGTCCCTCCAAAATAGGGACAATTGAGAAGTATGTACTTTGTGGCAATTTCTACTGTGCAATACATTAACAGGGCCAGTGCATACAATGGCATCTATCAAAGTGAATCTACTCTATATGCATCTGACTGTAGTTGATGCATAGTGGTGGTGTGTAGAATGTAGTTGAGATCTTAGTATAGAATGCCTGAGGTAGATAACAGGCCATCATTGTGTGGATGAATTCAGTCTATCTCCTTAAGACCTTAATAAAAAGCAACGCACTGTTGATCAATTTGCCATTAAAATGATTATTAATGGGCACATTTTGTGAATATATTAATTTATGTGTGTTATATTGATTTATGACATTATGGGGACAATGTGTTTGTGAAACCTTTGCTTCTTATCGTCATTTAGAGACCCCCTTGAGAAACTTTGTGGAAATTATGTATTTCCATTCTGTAGATATTATGAATGACATTCTTCATATTGCTTACATATAGTACATATAAACTTCATTTGTAATATATGAGAAAATCCCCAGTTAGTCTTACAAACACATCAAGCAAGCAGAATGTTACTTGTGTTGCTACAATTAACACCTACACAGTCAACTGGGTGGAAAGGTGGGGACATCCAAAACCTACAACATAAATAGGTAATTGTAATGTTTCTTGAGACATTGACAAGTAGAGGTATCTGCTCTGCTTTGGTCCTCCCCACACCCTGATCCCCTCAATCCTATTACCTCACATCTTATTCTCACTGTCTTGCTGTGCTTCTCACTAAAATATTTAATCTCTCCACCCCCACTCCCTCTCGTATGTAAGCTCATTGAGCAGGGCCCTCAACCCTTCTGTCCCTGTGCGTCCAACTCGTGTGGATACAAATATGTGTTGGTTAGTCCGCCCATTGTACAGCATTGCGGAATTTGTTGGCGCTTTATAAATAATAATAATAATAATAACCCAAATTCTAAAAAAGCTAACATTGACCCAAACTTCCCATCCAACTGCCACCCTATTTCCCTTCTACCATTTGCCTCCAAGATCCTAGAGAGAGTTGTCTACACAAGACTGACCAGTTTCCTTGAATCTATCTCTCTGCTTGACCAGCTTCAGTCCTGATTTCACATTAATCACTCTGTCGTCACAACTCTGACCAAAGTATCCCATAACTTAATTGCTTCACAATCAAGTGGTCATTTCTCCCTTGTAAGTCTCCTTGACCTCGGTGGTGTTTTTGACACTGTTGATCATCAACTTCTACTTCTCATTCTTTACAACATCTGCCTATAAGACTCCTCTTGCCTTCCCCAGCGCTATTTTACTTTCTCATTTTCAGCTTCTTCCACTCCCCTGCAATCCCTCTCTGCAAGTGTTCCCCAAGGTTAAATCCTCAGTCCCCTACTGTTCTCAATCTATATTTCCTCCCTTGGTAAACTAATAAGTTCCTTTGGCTTCCAATATCACTTCTATGTTGATGACACACAAATCTATCTGCTCTCCCGATTTTTCACTGTTGCTTGCTTTGTTGTTTGTTAGTTCACCTATGGTATAGCTGTGTCGAATTTGTTGGTGCTTTATAAATAATAAGAATTAGAATGCAGGCAGATAGAAAGATGCATCATATATAAATTTTATCAGGGTCCGTTCACTGCTGGAGTCACACATAGTCCTACTCTCCTAAATAAATCCAGAAAAGTGACCAAAGGACAATAGAGTGCAAATACTGGGATCTAGAGTAAGGAGAAACAATCTAATTATCCTGATCCCAATTAAGGATGGCTGCAATTATATATAGTTGTATCAAAGAAGCCCAAATTTGCATAAGAGTCCTAAGAATTGTTTCCAGGCAGGCCAAATGTAAAATCTGTGTTACATCCAAATATCATATAATTTAACATTTTACCCCTTTATCCTAAGTGCAGTAATCAATTCCTATATCACTTCATGGTCTCATAATTCCACATGTTGTATTTTACTTATGATATCATGCCATATCATTTCAAATTTTGGCATATTATCCCACATTTCATTTTTCACCCATGATCCAATAAGTCATCTAATTTCATATTTCACTCAACTATCTAATATACCAACCTGCTGGTGGGGGCAAGTTGCTACCATGAAAACCATTTATTTAAGCTGCCCGGACAGGCATCTGATTGTTGTGCACCAAATGTAGATTGCTTCTGACTGATTTACAACCACAAGCGAATGGTGGCTAAGGTAGCATTAACAAACAAGAAACAAATCGAAGGACAGTTTCTGAATGATGTGGCACCATGCTGCCCGTTTTACAATATGCTGTAGATGCCCATACCAGCCTGTGTCAGCATGTGCCTCTATTGTAGTAGCTGCTCCCCATGTAGGTTACAAACTAAAAATGGGACTTTAGTCTTGTATCAGGATCATCTCCTTTGATTACAATAGACAGGCCAGTGGAGTATCTAAAATTCAGAGATGGGGCCTGGAAAACGGTGGCTAAATAAAATAGAATTGCAGCAGGATTCATCAAATGTAAAGCAAAAAATAAGATGGGCAAATTACATTTATATGGCTAATGTTATTCAGAGCAAGGTATTTAGCCAATAAAAATTGATAGAGGATGGAAGGCATGAAAAATAGGAAGTCTCAAAGGTTAGATGGGGCAACTATAATTTTTCTTAAAGGAATGGAATCTGCAAAATTTATCTGAATACCAGTAGGAGAAGTCTTGACGTATCTGCAATGATACTTTACTATAGTGCTTGATAAATAATAAGTTGACGTGCTACATCTCATAAATAAGCCACTTTTGCAATATTTTATACAAAAAAATCTATATATATATAAATATATATGTGTATATATATATATATATATATATATATATATCTCCCTTTGATAACTCACAAACTTTTCTGGTTGAGCTCAAATGCCTATTTAGCTCTTACAGTAAGAGAACTGGTTGCACAAGTTGCAATAAAAGTATCTTTGTTGTACAGTAGAATTCTAGATCTATATCTTGCATATTTCTATTGTCTCTCAAATATACTTGTCTAACTCTAGATTCTAAATTGTGTGAATATTTGTTTTAACCCTGGCTCAGTACTCAGTAGTATCATATGAGGTACTGTTAAAAACTCTTGTACTAATCACAGCAACATACATTTGGTTAGAAAAATGGCACCCATGGGTGACAACCAAAAAGAAGGAACACCAGAGACCAGCAGACACGTGCTGAGATAACACATAACTTTGTCGGACAACCAGCCAAACATTCACATGTTGAATAGTGAATATATAATAATATATATTTAAAAAAATATATATATATATATATATATATATATTTTTTTTTTTTTTTTTATCATAGTACGTATATATGTATCTTGTTTTTTTTTATCATATATATATATATATATATATATATAATAAAAAAAATAATACATATATATGCACTATGATAAACATTATCATAGTTTGTGTATCTAATAAAGTCTATGTAAAAAAAAAAAAAAAAGGAAAAGAAAAATACTTTGTTTTGTTTTTTTTGTTAAGTTACCGGTAAAAACAACAACCCATGGATAATTCTTACTTTTTTTTTTATTAGGGGCCTCTCCAGACAGACAGACACAATCTCCCCACCTTGCTACCCCTTCTTCTCTCTGTCTGTATTTTCCATAGTAGCAGAGATCGCAGACTATGTCCTAGCCCAGCTCTGGGGCACACATATACACATACACAGCTCCTGGGAGCCCCATCCAGTGCCCGGGCTCCTGGAATCACTTAGAATGTAGCCATCAGCAGTTACAAAGTTTCAGAACTCACCCGCACTCCGCCGGTAAGGTGTCAGTCCGCCTGCTGTCAAACTCCACAGCACAGTGCTAATCCACAAACAGCCCACAGGATCCATAGCGTCGGGATCTCCTTAATCCGGATTAAAGAGGGCTGCCAGTGAACAGTTATATTCCAGAGACTTGTATTTGTTGCTATTTACCGGGTGTCCGCTTGTCAAGGGCCACAGCTCGGCTAAGCAGCCCTCCCTACATTCCTATGGGCACCGTTGGCTGGCTGAAAGCAAAATGAGTCACTGCAGCGAGCCCAGAGGAAACAGGAAACCTTCGACTTCACAAACAGCTGTGCTGGGCCTCTATGCACTTCTTGCTTCTTTTTTACTTAAAAACCTCACCCAGTTGCAGCGCTGTCAATCATGACAAAAGCCAGCCCCTCTCTCAGTTCTCTCACATTACATACAACCTCTTCCATTGTACATATCCTGTGGCTTTGTTTTTGTGCTAGTAATTTTTTTGGTTTCTGTAAAGGGTGGGGGGAGAGTTTGGTGAAACTTTTTTCCTTTTGGTAATTTGTGACAGACATTACAGTACAGTAATTCAGAGGACCATCACTCATACTCAGATTAAGACTACTAGATGCTGGGGTACCAGTTTAGGCCTAACCAAAACTAACCATAAGGTTAATTCTTACTATTACACATCAGTCCAGCTGACATAAGCTGATTTTATAAGTCAAAGCTGCACAGCAATGCACACTATAAATTGTATGCTCTAAATTGTGATTAGTTGACAAACTGAGTCTAAATGGGAGGCATAAGTATAAGTGATTTTGGAAACAAAATGGAGATAAATTTCCCAACATAAATTGCCCATGCGCTGTTTAGTAAATAAAGCCACATAATATACACAGTATAGCAAATTATGGGCAGGGACCCTAGTTATAACTCAGCGGGGAAGACCTACTGTCCCCCTCAGTCATGGGCAGCCATTAGAAATAAATAACCCTACCTTCCCACCTTCATCCTAAAAATAGAGGGGGGGATATAAAACTAATATATTTTAAAATATATATACATACTTACCATCTGACATAGTCCTTCATCTTTTCATCAGCCCTGTAAAAGGCCACATTAAAATCCAGATTTCCTGATGCAACTAATAATAAAAATAAAAGCTTGATTCACAAAAAAAAATAAAAATGTGATGCTATAAAATTAATCAATTTTTTCGCCCGAGGGATTGCTTCAGACTGAGTTCTCATGTTCAGCACCTTGGCATATATTGGCGCTTTATAAATGACAGTAATATTAATAATTACAGTGCGTTAAAAATAGTAAGCCAAGCAATCAGAGCACTCTGACAGCTAGGTCTCAAGATAAGTCTTATTTTACTGGGGAAGGTGGGGGGTGGCTAGGGGATTGCGAACCTATCAATGGCTGCTCAGTTGCTAGTTAAAATTATTTAGCAGATATACCCCCACCTGCTGCATTGCAGATGGGGGCACAGTAATACACGCTGGCCAGCCTCCACACGATTGAACCTTGTGCAGGTAAACATTTTAAACTATTTTCCTACTGGATGCTAGCGCGGTCATTTGGTCCGGCTGAAATCTGAATCAAATTCAGGTCCATTGGGTCCCTAAATTGTAAAATCTAGGGATTTTTGAGAGTTAGTGAAAAACCCTATGTGTAGTTTGATACAGATAGATTGATAGATTGACAGACAGAGAGAGAGAGACAGATAGATAGATAGATAGATAGATAGATAGATACAGATTTTGAGTTTGAATGTATATTCGAATAAACTTAGTTATCAATAAACAAAAAATAAGTATGTCATAACTTCAAAAAGGTCAGATAAACAGATAATTTATAAACTAAAAATGCTATTTTAGTTTTTGATGCACTAAAATAAGATAATGATCTGTAAATATTATTTTACATGTATTCAAAAAATAATTGGGAGCACACCATAGTGAAATATGCTTTACAAACTGATGTCGATGTGCTTCTCCCGAGTGGCGCTCATTCTGAAGAGATAGTATTAGCAGTAATAGATCACTAAATAGCCTGCTCAGTATAAATGCCAGTTCTATGGAAAGCTTGCAATGTACCATTAAAGTACCCATGCTTTATGTAAAAAAACCTTTATTTTTTGTTGAGTCCATAATGATAAAATATACAGCATTAAGGGATGCAACACACAATAGAAATATGTACACACACCTAACATGCTTTGTTAGTTTGTCAGATGTAAGCTCCCCGAGTGAAAACCTACCTACCTATTTACACAATTACATTTAAAATAACTTAACTGAACATTACACCTCATGTATGACGTATGTGAGTGGGGTTACAATCGATATATTAAGTCACTTCTTAGGCTTTGTTTGTGAAACTAAAAGTATATATTATATATTCACAGATTTGCAACACAAACATTGTGTACTACTCCCACATCTGTACATTTCCTTACAGAAAACCACAGTGAACTCTCAGAAATTACACTCATTAAAAGACTTGCTGAAAATATTTATTTAACATATTACTCAATCAGTCCCTCTAGCCTAGAATCATTATATAAACTCGGTAAATATTTGGACACAATTCTACTAATTTCATTAAACTGAGACATGTCTGATAATTATAAATCCATCATCCATGAGTATTAGAAATAAGATCTCCACATGCAGCATTTAGTGCTCTCGAAAAAAAGCCTTTCTGGAAAATCTCGTAAAGAACAGCCTCTCTCACGCACTTGGCAAGAGTCCAGTAGAAATTGTCAGTATAGAATAGATCCTGTGAAGGTCCACTAATTATCTCACAAATGGAGATTGAGATGTTTTAGTTGACAAGACTTCTCATAGAGGAACATAATTGTTTGAATGAGATTTTATGTCAGTACTAATATAAACTATTTTTATTTAGTTTATCACCAGGTATGATAACCCCTCCAACATAGAAACATAGAATGTGACGGCAGATAAGAACCATTTGGCCTATCTAGTCTGCCCAATATTTCAAAATACTTTTAATTAGCCTTATCTTATAGTTAGGATGGCCTTATACCTATTCCACGCATGCTTAAACTCCCTTACTGTGTTAACCTCTACCACTTCAGCTGGAAGGCTATTCCATTCATCCACTACCCTCTCAGTAAAGTAATACTTCCTGATATTATTTTTAAACCTTTGCCGCTCTAATTTATGACTATGTCCTCTTGTTGTGGTATTTTTTCTTCTTTTAAATATGGTCTCTTTTAAATTGTTGTGGAGGACTGAATTGTACATTGACATAGGAATGGAGGGACTAGGGTTGACTGTCCACTAAGGCTCTTTGGTTGTGGATCAAGGGCTAGCGGCAATCAGGAGACCGGCCACGATTCTGTGAAAATCGGCCAGCTATGGGAAACAGCAGACCTCCCTAACTGGCTCAGCACAATTTTACTTAATTCATTATGCAGACCGATTGGTCAGTGTCTGTTTTACAGGAAACTAGCTCTGTGTGGTGGATAGAGGCGGAGATAGGATGTTACATCCTGGGTATTGTATGACAGTGCAAATGTGCACATGTAATGTAAGTATGTGAGTTGTTATTCCTGTGTGTGCAATGCCTGTTTTGGTGTATATCAGTGTCCCTATGTATGCAATATTATAGTGTCTGTGTGTATATCAGTGGGGACTCATGCAATGGACATCATCTCTCCCCATTAATGTCTCTGCCCAGCCCATGCCCAGCCCATTATCTGTTTCCAGCAATGTCTCACCCCAGAACTCCATTATTTACCATTATTTCTCCATAACCACTCCATTATCTCTCCTTTGCACCCCCAATTGTTTATGCATCATTGATTTCTGCAGCATGGCTGAGCTGTCTGTAAAAGGTCTCCTTTCATTTCTCTTCTCTTCTCTATGTGGCCCACTGACCCTATGAATCTGACCTTCAGCCTAAATAGACAAATAGACGAGCTGGGAAGTTCAAAGAACTCTGGACACACATAGGTTCATTCTGTGGCATGACATGCAATGTTTATGGCTGCACAGAAAATAGACATTGCACAAGCAGACAACTCTGGTAGCAGGACTACGAGTGGAGGGGTAGGAAATTGGCAGCATGTTTCAATGCACAACTCTGTTTCACTATCCTGGAGCATGGGCGTAGGAACCGGGGGGATGGGGGGGACGCATCCCCCCCCAGCAAATCATGCGGGGGGGACAGGTTATGGAGAAATCCCCCCCAGCTCCGCCGGCCCCCCTCATGCTGCAGCCGCCCGAGCGCTCTGTAGAGGAGAGGGGCAGCATGAGGAGAGGGGCTGACAGGAGGGAAGCGCTCAGCGCTCAGCGCTCCCTCCTGTCACTCCCTCACTGTAGCGTGGCTGAGCCCTGTATGGTCCGTGGGTACTGAGTCAGTGTGCACTTCCTTTTAGTCCGGCCGGGTACAGGAAACAAAAGCTCCCTGTACCCGCGGACCATACAGGGCTCGGCCACGCTACAACAGAGGTAGGGGAGGGTGGGGGGATAAATTGATGGGAGGGGAGGAAGAAATTGACAGGGGGGAGGGAAGGGGAGGAAGAAATTGAAGGGGGAGGAAGATATTGACGGGGGAGGAAGAAATTGACAGGGAGTGGGAGAAAGAAATTGACAGGGATGGGGTGGGAGAAAGAAATTGACATGGATGGGGGGAGGAAGAAATTGACAGGGATGGGGGGAGGAATAAATTGACAGGGAGGGAGGGAGAAATAAATTGAAAGGGAGGGGAATTGACGGGGGAGTGAGGGGGGAATGAGAGTGGGGAGGGGGAGGGGAGAAGAGAGTGACAAGGGAGGGGGGCAGAAGAGAGGTGACAAGGAGGGGGGGGTAGGAAGAGAGACAAGGAGGGGGGAGAAGAGGAGTGATTGTATGGGGAGGGGAGAAGAGAGTGACAAGGGAGGGAGAGGGGGGAGAAGAGAGTGACAAGGGAGGGAGGGGGGAGAAGAGAGTGACAAGGGAGGGGGGAGAGATTTACATCCATCACACACACACAATCACATACAATGCACCCCTTACACACAAAGACAATGCACCCCTTGCACACAGAAAAACACACAATGCATAACACACACAATGAATTAGACACACACACACACAAGCAATGCAACCCTTACACACAATGCATCCCTTACACACACAGAAACACATAATGCATTCCTTACACACACTCAATGCACCCCTTACACACACTCAATGCACCCCTTACACACGCACACACTGCATCTCGTACATACACAGAAACACACCATGCAGCCCTTACACATACAAACACAGATTCACACAATGCATTCCTTACACACATATCAGGACATCCCCTACACACTCCACCCCCTGTGAACAATTG